ACAATAGTTGCATTTCATTGAAAAAAGTAGTAAAGTAAATAAGATTGTGAGAATCAAGTTGACAGGTAAATAAACAGGTAAGATAATTACTTCCTACCACTTATCTTCATTGCAAAATATAATTGCCGAGAAAAAGTGAATTTGAATTCTTACTCTAATAATTATCTATCGCTTCATTCTATCTCATTTTTTTTTTCTTTTTTTTTTTTTTTTTTTTTGAAATAGTGCTAATTAAAGAATTGGAAAAAAAATTTATTAAAATTTTTGAACTTTATTTTTGCTATAATTATGTTCATTAAATTTTAAAAGATTCATTTTGATCATTTCATATTCACTTTTGATATATCTCATAATAACCTTCAATATATCATTTTTGCATATTTATGTTTGTCATTAATAATGATTAAATTAGTTAATGAATAATTTTGATAAAATCTTAAATAAATTATTTAATCAAAAAAAAAAAAATTATAATATGAAATAATAATATTAATTGTTTTTTTTTTTTTTTGTTGAATAAATTTATTAAAAAATGAGAAATTATCACAGATGATCATTTCAATAAAGATTATCATTTAATGAAGAAAGTGAAAGAAGTTGTTTATTTGGTAAAAATTTTAGTTACAAAGATTTTAATTTTAATTTTAATTACATGTTTAAAAATATTTAATAATTTTTTGTATATTTGTAATTTTGGGATCAAATTTCTTTCGCTTTTTTGGCTTTTGAATCATTTATAAATTGATCTTATCATTGTGATATATTATGAAATTACAAAAGTTTACTAAAGTTCAAAAAAATTTTATTTTAAAAAAAAAAAACTAAAAAAAAAAAATTTTACCACTTAATATGATCCATTTTTTTTTTTTTTTTTTAATTTAAATAATTATTGAAATTAAAATATTACTCATTAATTCTTTAGTACTATTTGTGTAAATTATTTATAAATTGATAATATTACAATGATATGCTATAAAATTATTAGTTTTTTATAAAAAAGAAAAAAAAAAGCGATTGCTAATAATATTTTATGATAGTAAACGGCGCAAAATAATATTAAAATATTGCTTCTATAAAGATTTTCATTCAATTCATTTTTATTCAAATGTTGAATCATATATAAACGAGATTATTTGTACATAAAAGAGAGAGAGAGAAAGAGAGAGAGAAATGGATTTATCGATAAAAAAGTGATTGTTGATTGCGCTTTGCTTCTTTTACTGATTGCGCTTTGCTTCTTTTACTGATTGCGCTTTGCTTCTTTTACTGATTGCGCTTTGCTTCTTTTACTGGTTGCGCTTTGCTTCTTTTACTGGTTGCGCTTTGCTTCTTTTACTGGTTGCGCTTTGCTTCTTTTACTGATTGCGCTTTGCTTCTTTTACTGATTGCGCTTTGCTTCTTTTACTGATTGCGCTTTGCTTCTTTTACTGATTGCGCTTTGCTTCTTTTACTGATTGCGCTTTGCTTCTTTTACTGATTGCGCTTTGCTTCTTTTACTGGTTGCGCTTTGCTTCTTTTACTGATTGCGCTTTGCTTCTTTTACTAATTGCGCTTTCCTGCATAAATGCTTAATCATTCATTTTTTGTTTTTTTTTTTTTTATTTCCAAAAATGTCAATAATTAATAGGAAATGACTGCTTTGTTAATTTTGATGTTTTTCTCTCTCTTCTTATTAGCCAATATTCTATCAATTTGTCATAGATAACAAAAAGATATTTTGAAATTTTTAAAAAAAAGAAATTAAAAGATAAAAGTAAGAAGTATTATTAATTGTTATTAATAATCAAAAATTCAAAATGTTACAATAATTGTTTTTTTTTTTTTGTTTAATTATTATTGTGCTAATTTGAGAGTAATAATATTAAAAATGCTTTTAACTAGAAGTTTTTTTTTTTTTTTTTTTCTTTTTAAAACTATGTTTCCTTATCAATTTTTAGAAATTTAATTTGAAGATCGATAAATTTAGTATAAGAAAAGCAAATATTTGAAACTCTCTCATATTAAATCCTATTTTTCTTTTTTTTTTTTTTATTTAAAAATTTACTATTCCAATTACTCTTTGTTTTTTAACAAAGATAATTTTTAAGATAATTCAACAAGTTTGTCTTTTTTACACAGATAAATTTAGAATTTTTTGCCAATAATTTCTTTTCAATTTTTTTAGCAAAAAATAATATTTAATTTTAACATTTAGTTTTATTTGAAATCATTCTTCACTATTTTTATGATGTCCTAACTTTTAACTTTTACTTATTTGCTTACTTGTTTACAACTGTTAAGACTATTTAGTGATGATGAAGTGAAATTATATTATAAATAATTTCGTTCCTTTTTCTTTTTTTTTTAAAGCTTTTTGATGTAAACAAAAGCGAAATTTTTATTTGAGGAAAATAAAAGTTGAAAAAAAAATAAAAAATAGCAAAAACAAAAAAAAAAAAAAAAATAAACAATATAAAAGTTAATTAATTGAAATGAGACAAAATTTTTTGCAAATTTATTGATATTTATATTTAACTTTTATATTGTTAGCAACTTCATTTCCATTTCTGAAATTAACAATAGCTATTGTTAATATTCGTTTCCAAGGTAACTCATACCTATATTATATCTATATGCAGGGTCACTGTCATCAATAATCCTTAAGAAAGCAAATGGATCGGATCTCACAAATTTTCACAATTAATTTACTATCATTCAATCCTCTCCTAAAAAGGAAAAGAAAAAAAAAAAAATAATAATTCGATAATTAACTCTCGAAATTATCATCTTTAATTCTTGTATTTAATTCTTTAATTCTTGTATTTAGGTATTAATTAAATTTGCACAGAATTAGTTATAATATTATTCAATGCGAATATTGTAAGATTGTTTAAAAATTTAAATCTCTCTCTCTCTCTCTCTCTCTCTCTCTCTCTCACATTTCATATAATATTTATATTTTTTGAAATTTTATTGTTGAGAATATCTTCGTTGTGAACATTTAAAATCAAATTTCTTTTTAAAAGCCATTGATTGTTTACTTTTTTCTAAATATCAAAACAATTTGATAATATTGATAAAGGAATTATCTATTATTATAATCTTTATCAGAATGCAAAAAAAAAAAAAAAAAAAAAATGGAACGAAATAAATAAAATGAAAGAATTAGGAGTAAATTTTGAAAAGTAACAAACTGTTTTTAAATTTTTTTTTTTTTTTTTTTTTTGAGTATTTTTAATAAATGAAAAAATTATTTCCTAAATATTGACAACCATCAATTATTAAATAAAGTTATAACATTTTTCTATGATTTGATTTTGCTGCTGATAAAATTGATAAAAATGAAGAAAGAAAGAAAAAAAGGCGACAATATTTGTTTATCATATAAATGATTATTATTGTTGTAAAATAAATAAATAAAAAACGATGCATAAAGTTTTTTCATTTTACAAAAACTATTTAAATTTAAAAAACTTTTTTTTTTAATTTGAAACTTTTTTTAGTCTAAGTTTTTTCTTTTTTTCTTACCATCAAAAATGAAATTTCCACGACAGATATAGTAAAAAAAGCAATTTTGATCGATAAATCAAGGTCATTTTTCATTTTTTGAATTTTTTTACCTCCTTTTTTTTTTTTTTTATTTTTTCATTTGTTTATATCTTCGAGAGAATTGCTAAGCTAAGATGATATAATATCCTTTGTCCACTAATAAATAAATTATTAAATTCATTCTCATCTCTCTCTCCCTCTTTTCTCTCTCTCTCTCTCTCCCCCTTTTCTCTCTCTCTCCCTTTTTTTTGCTTCTTTTTCTCTCATAAGATAAATTTTTGAAATTTTTTTCTCTTTCTTTTTTTTTCACAATGAGACATTAGTAGCAGTTATATTAGTACAAAATTAATAATAATAATAACAAAACTTTCATCCTCTTCAGCCCATCCATCCATCCATGTGTCATTTGTAAATGTGGAACTGTCACGTCTGTCCACAACCAATGACCACTGTCAACTGTTGTGGACATTGTCCACCTCCTCTTTATCTCTTTACTGAATTCCATGAATTGTAACATTTTATTATTATCGTCGTTATTTGTTATTGTTAGTATTATTATTTTATTACTACTATTATTATTATTAATATTCCATTGTTGTTATTATTGTTGCTATTATTATAATTATTGTTATTATTATCATTGTTATTGTTGTTATTATTATAATTATTACTATGTGTTGATTAATTATTGTTGTAATTTATTATTACTTTAAGATTTTAGTATTATTTTCATAAGAATCTGATAGCATTATCATTTTTAATTTTACATTCGAACGATTTATTTTATAGAGAAGACTCATTTTTATTGACAAAAATATCTAATCATTAAGAAAGATATTAAATAAGAAATGTTGGGTAAGAATGAATTTTACAGAATTTAAAATTTTGTTTTTTGATTTTATTATTGTCTAATTGTTATTTACCTTTAAGAGGGTAAAATTTTCATGGTTAATTTAATTCTGTAATGGCATTCAGAATTAGACTTAGTCTTACCAACTAAATATAAAACATTATTTTAAACTTATGCTAATATTTTCTTATACCTTAAATATTTTTGTTTGTATTTTCTATTGACAAAAACTTTATCAATGTTTATAATAGGCGCTGATAAGATGATAAGAAGGATGTATAATCTTATCAAAGTACTATTAAATTATCATTATCGACTATTTTTTACTTTGTCCCTTATCATTATCGACTATTTTTTACTTTGTCCCTTATCATTATCGACTATTTTTTACTTTGTCCCTTATCATTATCGATTGTTTTTTACTTTGTCTCTTATCATTATCGATTATTTCTTACTTTGTCCCTTATCATTATCGATTATTTTTTACTTTGTCTCTTTTGTAATATATCTTTTGCTTATAGGTTTGATATTATTTCTAACGATAAGAAACTAACAAGTATACCATAAATTACTTTTATTGATTTTTCCTATTCTATCATTTGGATAACAAATAATTCAAATGATGAATGGTTTTGCAACAGTTAATCGAGGGAAGCTATTTGCTGCTGAAAATTATAAGAAAGGTATAGTTCTTAAATTATTTTTTATAAATCAAAATTTATTTATTCGAAAAATAAAAAAAAAAAAAGACGAATGCAAAAAAGATGTACTTTTTGTATAGATTTGTGGAAAAAATTTCAAATTTTTGAATTCTTACAATGTTGGAAGAATTTAATCGGTTGATAAATTTTGCAGAATTGTACACTTATTATCATTTTTCATAGGTACACGTATATGGTTAAGAGATTCAGAAAAAGTTTGGATAGGTGGTGAATTATTAGATGACTTTAAGTTTAATTCACGAAATAAGGTACAGCTACAAGATGGACAGGTAAGTTGTAATTTTTTTTTTTTTCTTTTTTTTTAATAATACTCTTCACATTATCAAGTAGCAATTCATCTTTTTTTTTTTTTTTTAAATTTAATATAATTATCATAAACATTTTTAGGTGACGGAAATTATGGTTGACGAATCAGAAGAACTTCCATTCTTACGTAATCCAGATGTGTTACTTGGTTGCGATGATTTGACAACATTAAGTTATTTGCATGAACCTGCCGTTCTCAATCATCTTAGTTTTCGATTTGTTAAACGAGAAGCAATTTACACTTATTGTGGTATTGTTTTAGTAGCTATTAATCCGTATGCAAATTGTTCACAACTTTACGGAGATGACGTTATACAGGTATATTTTTATTTAAACATAATTGAGAATAATGGATTGAAGTTCATATGAATTAAATTAACCTTGTTTCCAAAAGTTTTTTCTCAAATAAATACTTTTACTTGTGTCATCCTATTATTCTATTATATTTTTTAAAAGATTTGATTAATCATTGAAATGCTTAAATACAGGTATATCGTGGTGTTGGTAAACAAGTACGAGAACTTGACCCTCATATTTATGCTGTCGCAGAAGAAGCATTTTATGATTTATCTAAATTTGGTAAAGACCAATCTGTTATTGTTAGCGGTGAATCTGGTGCTGGCAAGACAGTTTCTGCTAAATTTGTTATGAGGTAAAAATATTAATTTTCAAAAGATTAATTTTTTTTCTAATTAAGAAGAATGTTTGAATTTTTTGTAAATTTTAGGTATCTGGCATCAGTGGCATGTTCATCATCGAGCAAATCATACGGCAGTAAACCGGTGGCAGGTATTGAGGATCGTGTTCTGGCATCAAATCCAATAATGGAAGCAATCGGAAATGCGAAAACAATTCGAAATGATAATTCTTCTCGTTTTGGAAAATATATACAAATTGATTTCAATGATCATTTTGGTATTGCTGGTGCTGAGATGAGAACTTATTTGTTGGAAAAAAGTCGTGTCGTATTTCAGGTGAATAGATGAAATTTAAAAAATTAGTACAGAAATTGACTGAAACTTAACAATTGGTGTTGCTGACTTAGTTCGCTTGTTAAACTATCCGTATTTCCTGATCATCGCTATAGTTTTAACTCTAATTATTTCCAATTTTAACTAATGCTCGTTATTTTAGGCAGAAAATGAACGCAACTACCATATTTTTTATCAGATTTGCGCATCACGATCGCATGCTCTTTTGAAAGACCTTAAACTAGGTATTTGTTTAGTATGTCAGTTTGTTCTTGCTGATAACTAATTAACAATGCTAGTCACTCACTATCAGATAAGTTGTATTTACTGTGTTTTATCATCTCAATTTATCTGGACTACTGGATAATTTTAAAAGCGAAAGTTATTAAGAGATTTCACTAAACAAAGTGCTTCCTGTTAGATTAAACTTATACATTTAAACATTCTTGAATTGGTTCCACTTAATTAAATCTCCTTTACTCCTTCTAAGCATTTCTTTACAAGCTGATAAAGAAACAAAAGTAGATTGTAGGTGATTGGCATTCATATTTTTATACGTGTCAAGGAAATAGCGGTGAAATAGAAACAGTTGACGATCAGAATGATTTCCTACAAACGCTGGCTTCTCTTGATCTTCTTCGAATTTCAACGGACACTCAAAAGTCGATACTTCGTTTGTTTACGGGTCTTCTTCTGTTTGGCAATATAAGATTTGCTGATAGATCCAATGAATGTACAAAAATTGATGTAAGTTATTTACTAGATAATATGCTATTAAAAATGACACTTCTCAATATCTTTCCATTTAACCCTTTTAAATTGTTTAATATTTAAATAGTTTAATAGAAATTTAATTCCGTTTGTTTTGAAATAATTGTTTTCATTTATTTGTGCTGTGGTAGTTGTAAAGTTTGAGATGAATCCAATAATTATGCTTCCTATTAGCTTATCAATTTTATATTTTTCAATTTGTTAGACTGTTTTACATATATAATGAAATCTGAAAGGTTTTTGAAACTTACATTAGGATAATTTGTTCATCTTATAATGGGAAAAATTTTATTTGATGAAAATTGAAGCATTTATGAACTTATTTGTTTGTATAACTCTTTCGATTTTTTTAATTCTGTGTTATCTTAAGCAAAGTAGTTCCGATACAATCAGTCAACTGTGTGGAAAGATGTACGAAATAAACGAAAACGATTTATGCATGTGGTTAATTGTTCGCGAAATTATTGCTGGAGGTGAATCTGTTCGGAAACCACTGACTACTGCTGAAGCTAGTTTTCTTTTTCTTTTTTTTTTTTCTTTTTTAAATTTCTGCATTATTATTTCTGAAAAATATCTGACACAGTTTCATTACGTTCGATTATTTTCTATCTTCGTTTGAAATGAAGTTTCTCAAAAATTACCATGAAATACAAAATCTTGCAATCTTAAAGGCAGTAGAACGCCGGGATGCGTTAGTTAAGATTCTTTATGCCGCAGCGTTTTCTTGGATAGTTAAAAAAGTAAACGAAGCTTTGGGAGAACAATTGAAAAACAATAAATCAAAAAACACTAAACGGTTCATTGGAGTTCTCGACATATATGGGTTTGTCTGATTTACTTTGAGAAATTAGCTATTTTAAAATTCCTGGTTTATTTCAGGTATAAAATTAGATTTTTTTTTCAATTCTTTTCGAAATTTTGTCATTTCATTCCTATTATTGAGAATTGCTTTTGATTTCTTTTTCGTATGATATAAGGGTGGAAAGTAAAGATGTAATAATGCTAATTACAGATTTGAAACTTTGGAAGTTAACAGTTTCGAACAGTTCTGCATTAATTATGCGAATGAAAAACTTCAACAACAATTTTGTCAGGTCAGCTTCAAACGTCTGTTAATTAAAAATTGTAGTGCACATTGTTTGATTTTACTTAATGGTAATTTTACTTTACTTTACTTTAATGAACTGTCGAAATGTTCAATGTATTCAAATATAACAGTAATAAATAATATATTTCATGTGCTTTTAAAAAACGGTGAAAATTCCGAAAAATTTAGAATCAAAAAAGAAAAATTGTGGAAATTTCTGATCAGATTTTTGAAAGTCTAAGATTTGAGAACCTAATTTATTTTACTAAACAAAAAAAAAAAAAAGAAGTAAACGATTATGAACAGTTTTTCCATATCCCTATTTTATCAATGAAATTTTAGCATGTATTTAAACTTGAACAGTCGGAATATGAACGAGAGGAGATTGACTGGATACGGATTGATTTTTACGACAATCAGCCATGTATTGATTTGATAGAAGGTAGACCTGGTATCATTGATTATCTTGATGAGCAATGCAAGGTGCACTTTCCATCGAATATTTAAGAAAACTGTTGTAGCATATTTAATAATCTTATTAAGAGTAAAGTAAATAAGCTGAATTAATTACAAATAGAAAAAATTTAGTAATTGTAAGTAAATTATGCATTATTTACACTCACACCAATAGTTTTGAAGCCATTTTATAAAAAATATCATTCTAGCTGCTTGCTTTTGAGGTATTATTTGAGACAGTTACATTATTTATGGTAGGATTTTGAATGAATAAAATTTAAAAATTATAAAAATAAATCTATTTAGATGGGTCAGGGGACTGATCGAGATTGGTTAGAAAAATTACGAACATGCCAAATGCTCAAAAAAACGCAACATTTCCAGTTACCGAAGATAAAAGTATGACTTCAAATGTCATATTTTTTTTTTTAAATAGAATTTGGAGTTCCTTCTTTGAAAAATTTCTCTTTTCTTAGAATCCAACATTCATAATCAGACATTTTGCTGCCGATGTTACTTATAATGTGGATGGTTTCTTGGCGAAGAATAAAGATACAATAAGTCAACAATTAATAGCTGTTATGAAGAATAGCAAGGTTAATAATGATAATATTAATAATTCGATAATAGAAAGTAAGCAAAGAAAATTGTCTATTAAATGTATTTGTTTGAAAGGCTCTTATTTTGATTATCTGTTTACTATTCCAGAAAGTCTTAAATAGTAACTACCTCAAAATACTGATATCAATAAATGCTAATTTAGTTAATTTAGTTTAACAACTAGGCGATGATAGTATTATATATATACTGTAAAATAAGTGACAGTGTGGTACTTCAACATTAGTTTTATTTCTTTTTATTTTTTTTTTAATTTCAATTTCAGTTTGACTTAATGCGTGAGATACTGGATGTCGAGAATGACAAAAAGTCATTCGGACGTGGGACCAACTTTCTTATACCTAATACCGAGCATTCCATGAAGAAATCCGTCTCTTTCCAGGTATGCTTGCAATTGTCGTGTTTTTCAATATTTTTCAGTTTTTAGTTTTTTACAAGTGGTTCAGAAAAAAATTAAGGCTTTAAAAAAAAAAAAATGATATACTATTTTTCTACTGTAACATCAACGGTTGGATGTGGAATGCATGCTAGTGGAAAGCCCACAGTTTATAATTCATATCCTTTTGTCTAAATTTCTTTTTTTTTTTTCTAAAGTTAATAAATAAATAGCGTCAAATAAAGTAAAATTTTCCATTATTCATTTTCAGCTATTTAAATCAGGAGAATTATATAACATTTTTTTTTTTTAATTTTTTTTCTTTTTTTTAAATTTTAATTCTAGCCGAAGGAATTAACAAAAGTTCTCGTGCTGTTTTTTTTTTTTTTTTTTTAGAAAATTTTCAGCTATAAACTAAAATTAAATTCGGAATTAACTTGACCTATTATTGTCTCATTGATTTAAATCCACGTTATAGTTTCGTGATTCATTGCGTGAATTAATGGCAGTGCTAAGTACCACACGGCCACACTACGTACGTTGCATCAAACCAAATGATGAGAAATTACCATTTACATTCACACCTAAACGAGCTATTCAACAGCTTCGAGCTTGCGGAGTTCTTGAAACGGTGCGTATATCAGCTGCCGGATATCCTTCAAGGTATTAATTATGGTAATCATTCTTCTTTTTTTATCAAATTATCCAATGCTTAAGTCTTTTCTTTAATTATCTGAATTATGTTAAAGCTAGATGAGTTACTATCAATAGGTTGTGAAGCTATCTTTTTAGAGAAAGCTAAAAATTATTCCTGAATATTTCTTAGTGACTTTCTTTAAATGTTTTATGACTTTATTTTGCGAGTATTTGCGTATCTATTAGCAGCAAAATATACTCTTTATTAAATTACTGTTCATTGTAGTTTATTTGTAGATGGATGTATGAAGATTTTTCTCGGAGGTACCGAGTTCTTTATCCAGAAAAGAAGTTATGGCTAGAAGAGCCAAGAATTTTTGCAGAAAAAGCATGTAATAAATATCTTGAGGTATGCTTTCATTCTAGACTATTATTCAGATTTGTTGCAGTTCAGAACAATTAATTACTTGCGATAACTTTCATAAATTGACTTCTCTCATTTCATAGTTTCTTATCATATTATCATATTTATATCCAATTCTATCATCTTAAGCATAACTTTTAACAGACTTGTCTACTTTTCATTCAAATGAAAAAAACTTCCAAAGACAGAACTCTTTTTTGTTTTCCGCTTAAAATCGGTTTTTCGGTGACCTTGTAATAAGATATTCGTTTCTGTATTTAATTTAGAAACTTGTAATTGAACTTTGGCAGATTGTGTAGTTTTTTTATGAAATTTGAAAATGACATCGAATAAAATGTTTAAATGTTATCACTTTTTTTATTTATATGCAGTTTATAATTATTATCAATGAAATTTTGCAATATTAGTGTGTTGCAGAATAAAATGTATGCTTTGGGTAAAACAAAGGTATTCTTTCGAACTGGACAGGTAGCTTTATTGGAAAGAATACTTCACGAAAAATTAGCAAATTCAACAATAATGATTCAGAAGATTTGGAAAGGTTACATTTGTCGGAAAAAATATCAAAATATCAAAGAATCATTACTGAAAATTCAGGTATTTTCCATGTATCTGTTCATTTTTTATTCAAATTTGCTTTGTTTTTTTCATGAACTGTAACTAAAAATGGTTAATTAAATTTTCAAATCACTTTAAACTGATGTCAGTTCTGGAATATCTTTTAGCTTTATTCACGTGCATTCCTAATGTACAGACGCATGAAATATCTTCAAATGTATCGTGCTGCAGTTTGCATACAAACTGCATTTCGTCGCTACATAGCACAGCATCGTTACACATTACTGAAAGCAGTTATTATCATGATACAAACTCATTATCGAGCATCGCTTATACGTCAAAAAATAGAAAAGGTATTTAAATTTATCACTGCATTTATCACCACAGTATTAAGTATGATCAGTAATTAGTGGGTAAGGATAACATATTTGGAATAACTGATATATGTATTATTAATGTTAATTATTAGTGAATGAATGAATAATAAATTAATGAATATGTTCTAGGATTGTTTGCAATCATTATAATTTCAATAATTCTAATTACTTTACTTTCATGTATTTGTATTTGTAAGATATATTATAGTACTAAATTGTTTAGGTGACAGCTGGTACAAGCTTTCACTGAGATATATAATCTGCATGATTACATACGAATTATATATGTTATATAATAGCTATAAATTTAAAAATTTTTGTCCCAGTTAAAGGTCATTCTGAATTTAATATTTCCAAATTACTTTATTGATCACAGAAACAATCATCTTGAGTAGTTTGAATAGTATTATCCTCTTTGATGATTAGTTATTGGGACATTCCATGAAATTTTTGTGAACTTTTAATGATCTATTCATTGGTTAATCAAGAAGAATGACATGAAAATTCCAAGGTTAATTCATTTCCTACTTATATTATTCAATTTCATGTGTCATTTTCCTTGTGAAGTTTCTGGAAATTTTAGCAGTTTTTTTTTTAATATGAAAGTGTAAACCTTTTTGTTTATAATAATCACTATGGTTATTATAAAATACTTCGAATCATTTATTTGTTTTTTTTCATTTTTTTTTTTTTTTTTTAAAAACAGGAACAATAAATATTATTATCTAAAATTTGATTGGAAAGGTCTTTATGAATGTCTCTGGCCTAAATTTTGTGATATGTCTGGTTTTCTCCTTTATTTGATTTTCAATAATCTCCAATATGCTCTTAGTTGGTTTTATACCTCAAAATGCAATTTAGAAAATTCAACTATCTTAATTTTTTACAAATTGGACTCAATTTTAATTGCTTCTTTTTCGAAGTAACTTATAATCTATTCAGCGCTATATCATGATTTAAAAGCAAACTTTCTAATTAATCTAAATTTTCTTTGTTTAAAAAATTGGATTAGTATGTAGCTGCTTTCTTATCCTTTATATAATATGAATGTTTTAAGTCGACAATTGCTCTATATTCAGTTTTTAACTTATTTTCAAATAAAATTGCTACTTATTTTTTAATTACTTTCCTATATTAGAAATCTGCATTTCAGATTTGAATAATCCTACATATACACATTCATATACTTTATTTAGTTTAACATTTCTTTTTTTTTTTTCCTTTTGTTTTAACTTGATATTACACTTTGTTAAATTACTCAAACGTATGTTAAACGTTAGTTGAAATTTGAAATAAATTACAAAGAATTGCCGAAATTACAACGTTGAATTTAATTTTGACCAAATTGTTTTTATTTCTATTTTTATTTATTTAATTATTTTTTTTTTTTTTTGAATTTCAACCGATCATTCTGATCATTCTGAATTTTGTCCTTTCCGTTGTATTAATATTTCTATTCATTGCTTATGAATTTATTTTCAATTTTAGTTACGGCACGAGCAGAAAGCAATCGTAATTCAAAAATATTGTCGTGGCTGGCTAGTGAGGCGTCATCAGATCGATCATAACAAAAAGATCGTCATGATACAATGTCAAGTGCGACAATGGCTTGCAAGGAGGCGTCTACGTGAATTGAAGGTTAGTACTTGTCATTTATGTACTTCGTTTCATATGTAATCATCATGAATAGCTTTTGTTTGCTTTCTTATTCATGATATCAGTTGTCATCTCTCATTTTACTGCGAATTTACTCGTGATGAATTGCAAAAAATATGTAAGTTAATAATTATTAAAGTTAATTATTTAATAATTTAATGTAAATAAACAGGTGTAAAATATTGGTAATATTTTTGTTTATATTCTGCTATCAAATAACAGATAGCTAAAAATATATTTTTAACAAGAATTCAAATAATTTATTTTACAGAAAGCATTTTTACCTTAATATTAATTTATTTATTGGTTTATCACTGTTTTATTATTGTTTGCCAAAAAATCAAATTATTTTATTCTTCGAAAAATTTCTGTATTTTTTTGTGCTTTAGCCAATTTATGGATTATTTTTGTGAGCAAAAAATGAGTAATGCTTTAATTAGTACTTATGAAATTTTCAAGCTAGAAGTTATCAATGAGGGCTAGATTACTCTGTAATTGAGGAACTTTTTTTTTTTTCTTAATCTCCATTAAATTTTTATATAATTTTAGATTGAAGCTCGATCTGTTGGACATTTGCAGAAATTAAATAAAGGCCTTGAAAATAAGATCATTTCGTTGCAGCAAAAACTCGATTTCATGGTATGCTTTTGTTGTAATATTTTAGTAATCATTAGTAATAAGAATAAAACTGCTGGCCTTAAAAGTAGAGCATTTCTTCGGACATTTTAAAATGATAATAAAATGTTAATAATGAAATGGATCCAAACTTGATTAGTTACATACAACTTATGAGAGTAAGACAAAGTTTTTACTTTTTACTGTTAGAAACCTTATACAATATTTTAAATGTGCAAATTTCTCCGATTTCCCATTTCTTTCTTTGCGTTGTAGATTCAAATTTAAACTTGATTGCGCAACTTGTCAAATCAGCAACATATTTAAATTTAAACAATTGCAAAGTTACGCTAGTATATTTCTTCTACGATTTAATCCAGACTGCAGAAAATGGTCGATTATGGACAATTTCAGCAGAAGCTGATAAAATGCGGGTAGAAATGGCGAATTTGGAGACACAAAGGTTTTTTTCCTTGTCCTTTCTAATTATATCCTTTACTTAAAATTTTAATTATGCCTTGTTGAAATTCTCTACTATTTACATTTCTTTTTTTCAGTTAAAAAATTTATTTCATTTTTATCTCTTTATCATTGCATTTTTCTTTTTCTTCTTTTTGAGACAAAAAATATTTTCCAAAAGCAATTTTTGATATCAAACATTGTAAAATGGTTTTGACTCATGATTTTATTGTTATTCTGATTTATAAAACAGTGATTCCCAATAGTTAACATATTTGTTTTCTGTGGAATTTCGACTATTATTCATGGTATTTCTTTATCATTTGTTATGATTCAAGCCACTTATCATTATTTTTCACTATTTCAAAGTTATTTTCTGTTATATTAAATTGTTCTTGAATTAGGTTACCACCAACAAAAATTTTTTTTAACCTTGGTTCACTAATTCGATTATATTCAGTCACCTTTAGTTCCTAAATTTTCAGTGCGATATTTGAATAACAATTTGAAACAATTCTATTGAAGCGTATAAATCGCATTCACTTATACATAAATGCATACAAAACAGTTCCTTAGTTACATGATTTTTATCAATGTTTGTATCAATTTGAGATTATAATTATTATTTGTTATTGTCTTATCATTAAATTAATTATTATAGATGTGTACTGCTGGCTACCAAAGCACATGCGGAAGATTTGGAAGCAAAAGTGAAATTATTAGAAGCTAGTCGGAAAGAAGAAGCAGCAAAGAATATTAAATTAGAGGAAGAACTACAAAATACGAAAGATAGGTTGAAAATGGTTATTTCTAACTTTCTCTTATAAATTTGTGAAATTATATATAGATTATTTATTTTGCTTAGAATTGAAACTGACGCATAGAATGCTTTTTAACAAATAACTTCAAACACAATCGAAAAAAAGTAAATGAAAAAGAATGAAATATCATAGTTGCACATACATCTGAATTATTCTTATCAATACTAGCTGATCAGACAGCCATTTAATGTCAAATGATAACAATCGGTGAGAAATGAATCGTTCATTTGATTTGCATATTATTCAATCATACGGCTTATGTCGAAAATATCTTTAGATCAATTTAATTTCTTCAAATTTTTGTCCAAAAATTTCAGGAATTTGAAGAAACAATTGCGAAAATAAATGCTTTGAACACTGAATTGTCAAGTCTTCGTGCTCGTTACAATAATTTAATGAAGCAGAAGAAATTGGTGGATGTTGAATTAGCTAAAGGTTTACATTTAAATTATTTTTAAAGGATATTTGTAACTTAAAATTTATTATGTTCTAAGAATTTTTGTTAATTTTTATTGTTTGGTAGATGTGTGAGAAGAAAAAGATGTATTTTTAAGCCTAACTTGCTTTTGCTTTCTACCAAATTCATGAAATTCATTTAAAATATTCATCATTACAGAGAAGAACCGTTACTTGGCATCGGAACAAGAAATATCACAGATGCGTGAACAGTTGCTTGCAAATGCTAATCTTTTAGCTAGTCCAGCATTAAGTCGAACTGGAAGTAAATTTTTGCTTTAAAACTTATCCAGAACTTTATTTTTTTTATTATTGCTTTTTTCAATAGTGGTTTTTATCCATTCCTGATTCTTTCAGCAGCATTTTTATTTCTCTTTATGTATGCATTTTTAAGTAGACTTTCAAACAACACCAAAAGTCTCGAATTAAATGTTTTAATTCAGTTCGCAGCTAATTGAATTGCCCAGATGCTGATGATAGTATCTTCATGATGATAATGATAATAGAATCCTAGTGATAATAGAATCTTATTTCATTATTTTTCATTTTCCACTTTTAATTTTTCTCAACAAAATTTCTTCAATTGAATTAAATTTTTATAGCTTTTCACAAATTTATATAACTTTTTATTGGATCTATGTTTTTAGTAACTGTTGAAGAATGATAAAATATCACTGATGATTTTGTAATGATTTTCTAATAATTTTCTTCAATCTATGATCTGTAATATTGAATTAGCTTAGTATTACGAGTAATAATGATAACATCTTTTAAGGCATGCGACTTACACAAAAAAATTTGAATCAATCGATGTTGATCGGTGATACAAATGGCAAAATAGTTACCATTGGCTTAGACAGTAATGAGATTGATGAAGTGGTCCTCATACTGAAGCAACAACATGTTATTAATTCTCTTCGCTCCAAGTATGCTTGTCTAGTTTGCAGTGATTTGCTGATTAATTCAAACTATCAGTCTTTTATTATACAAATGCAATTTTTAGCATTTTAGTGAAAGTTTGCTTTTTTTTCATCCACATTTACAACCTTAAAATTAGAATTCATAGGAAAGAAAAGCAGAACTTTAGCTATATTGTTAAATATTTAATTGTTATATTTATGGGAAGCTATAACTTCTCTCAAAATATCTTGAATGATCTTGTCTATTTCATATTTCCTTATTACTCGTTATGGATAATTAAAATCTGATACAACCATATAAAAAAAGTAATATATTTTTTTTTTTTTTTTTACAGAATGGAGCAGATTTCAAGAGAAAACGATCGTTTGAAATCAATAATGGATGCTAATTTACTGGTCGAAAATTTAGATAAGCGAATTGCTATGAAGGCTTTTGATGCACAGCGAATGCAAGTAAAATACATTTTGTTTTTGATTTATTAAAAATTTTTTAGCTTCTTTAAACATCGAAGTTTTGATTCAAATTTTAGAATGTTTCATAACGAAGTGATTTGAAAAAAAAGCGAATTTAAATTTCATCATTGTAGGAACTTGAATTGGCATATAAGAAGCTTAAAGACGAAGTGGAACGATTACTTGAAGAGAAAGTGCAAAATGGCTCTGAAGCAATGAATTTTCGATCATTTGTTGAAAAAATAGTAGAAGAAAATGATAGGTACGTGAATGGATTTACTCTCAAATACAGCTGCGGTGTATTTGCATTTAAAGAAAATATATTTTCTCTTTGTCATTTAAATTTATTTCGCAGTCATAACTTTTTCCTGAACAGTTGATTTTCATATATTTTAAAAGAAATTAATTGGCATTATTGCATTAGAACTTCTTATGCACTTTTAAAAAATAAATGTTTAATCTTGTACAAAGCTTTTCTATATGCACTTCATTACTTATTTGTTTAATTACTGAAATCATTTTTTACATACACTGTAAAAACGATAATCAATTTTTTGCAATTTCATAGTGTAAGCATAAATTTTAATTTTATGAAGCTTTTTGATAGCTATTACAGTTTTTTTTTTTTTCTAGAAAGAGAGAAAAAACTTGCATCTGCATTTAGCCACCATAAAATATTTATTAAATTTATTTTTTCTTGAGGCGTCGAGAAGAAGCTGTTGAATTACGAGCCATATTGGCTGCACGATTTGAACAACGAGCTCAAGTTTCAAATTCATCACGTCCAGATGGTGACCAATGGTCTAGCATACAAAGCGATGATAGTTCCTGCAGTGATTTGGATGAAGAATTGAACTTAGGAAGACAATGTCGCCAGTTGAAGTCACATATACAGTGAATATGAATTCTTTTTAGCTAATTTGTTATTATCATAAATTCATTTATTTTATGGTAATTATTAATACAGATGTTATTTAGGCCTATTAAAATGAGTAAACAATGTCTGAAATGAAAGTCATAATTCCTTTTTTTCGTTCGAAATTTTTTAAAAAACTGAAATTTCAGAATGCTTTCGCGAACAATCACTGAAAGGAATGCAGAAATTGAGCGATTGGAACAGCGTTTAAATGAATTCACAACTTCAAAGGTAAGCAAACATTTAGAATTTTAATTTATCCAAACTTGGTTAATTGTCCTAGTAAATAAAATTCACGAATTAAGGATTGTATTATTAGTGAGATTTTGATTGAAATAGTAACTAATTATAAAATATTCGTAGAAGATATCGAAGAACAACTCACATTTACTATATTATTGAGCCCTTATTCTTTATATAATTTTAAACAAATAATATAATTATTTTATAAATAGTGTCGTTAAATTTTAAAGTTGTGTTTTTTTAAGTCTCTTTTAAAGAATAAAAGATTTAGGTATTAATGTTGTTGTTACAGTTTTTGACTACAGCTTTCATAAAAATGCTTATATCTGAGCAATTATATCCTTTTATATAAATAAATTTGAAAATTTTATACAATAAATTATTTTAGTAATTCTCAACTGTGTACGTACGTATGCATATATATATATATACATGAGTATGTATGTATGTATGTATGTGTGTGTGTGTCAACAACAAGTTTTAGTGGAATGACTACTTTTTGTAATTTTATTTTAAATCTAATGGGATAAAAGAGAAAGAACTGGAATTTTTGGAAAACATTTCTAATATGTACTTTTTTTTTTTTTTTCATTTTCAATTTGCCATCAAATTTCTAGAAAGACTTTTTTAAGCAAAACATGAACTACTTTTATTGATTCTCATCTTATTTTATATATTTAATTAATTTATTAATTTACTCCTATAATTTATTAATTTTTTTAGTTTATCAATTTTCTGATTCATTATAATCTCATATAGATGATTTTTTTTTTTCTTTTAATCAACGATTTATTTGCTCTTTCTCTGCTTTTTCATTTATTAAAAAAAAGGAAATTTTTTCCTTTTCTTCGATAGCTCATTTTATTATTATTTATTTATTTTATTTTTTTTATTTTTTGTTGATGGATTAAAAAAATGTGTTCCATTTGCATTGAAAGCAAAGCACTGCCCTCTAAGTAATATATTATATATGTATAAATATAATAATGTAATATTAAAAAATTTTCAGTTTACGCTGATAGAATGATTTTGGTTTGTCATTTTTTGAAATTTGTTACCTTATAATGATTCTATTCCAGTAAAAATTCCTAGTTTTTTTTTTTTTATTTTTGATTCTATAATTTCAATTTTTTAAAAAAATTTTTCTGTTATAAAATTTAATTCTCATAATTAACCATTAGGGATTAGAAAAGAGATGTGAAAGAGTTGATGGGAGCAAAAGTTGAAGTGGTGCTTCATAAATTCAACTTTTGCGTTTCATAAATTTTTCATGAACTTTTGCGCTTCAAAAAAGCATCTGAAATTCCTGAGGTAAAAAGGTAAATTTCAAATAGAAATAGATTTTTTCACTTTTTTCATTTATTTCAAGATTTTTATTTTGATCAAATCATTTCTATTTGAACATATAGCATACTACCAGTATAATGGGTAAAAAATAACAAGTAATGGGTAGCGAATCTCTCTAAACACTCATTTCATTCATAAGTTTGAAATTTTAAAATATTTTAAAGTGTATATATCTTAACTCTCTTTTCAAACAAGTGATTATTATTACATAAGACAGAGTATGTTTAAAAAATTGAATATTTATTAAACTGAAATTTTGAGCATCAATGAATTAATGAAACAAATTTCAATATGTATACTATCTAATTTAATATTTCTTTATTTTAATATTTTTTGTTTTTAAAGTCAGACTTGACAGAATTTAAAAAATTTGATAAGTATTTTAGTAATAAACTATATATAACTGTAATACATAACTGTTATTCTAATTAATAAAAATTTCCCAAATACTCTTCATTCATTTCAACAATATACCATTCATAAAAGAGCGAATAAATGCGCAATTGTCATGAATAACTTTTATTAAATTTTATTAACATTGTAAATGCGAGTGAGAGATATTTTATTTGATTTCTTCCATTTTATTCTTTTTCACTATTTCCTTTCAAAATGTTTTATTCATGTATTATTCTTGCCTTTGTCATAATCATTCATCTAATATACATCTCTATTTTTCATCCTTTTTACAGCATTTCTCTTCAAACAACCATTTGATTTCTTCATTTTCTTTCCAATTTCTCTTTAATGTATTGATCAAATTTTATGAAATTTTCATGTTTTACATTTAAAAATTATTAAAATGTACAGAATAAAAAGAGCCAAAGGAAAATTGAATTTAAAATAATAAATTTCCGCAATTAGTTTATTCAAAAATGTTCCATTTAAGTAGCTTTATTATCAATATATTGTAACTTTTTTTTTTTTTTTTTTTTTTAAATCAATTACTGATAATAGTGTTATGATAGAAGTAATAAAAATAAAGCTATAAGGTATTCAAGAAAAAAAAAAAAAGCATTTAATCCTGTTTAAAAATTAATTCTGTTTTCAAACATAGCCCTTTTCTGAATATTTTTCAAATTTTAGATCATACTACATTCCTACTTTTATTTTTGTTTATCCATCAAAATTTAAAATTTCGTTAAATTCCTTGTCAAGAATTATCTTAAGTTATCTGTTTATTTTTCAAATATTTTGTTCAGAATTTTTGTTTGTTATTTACTGTGAGAAAGAAGAAATTTTTTTTCCTGAGATTGGGAAGTGATGAATAGATTTATGATTAAATAATCTTTGATTAGTAGTAAAATGATTCTTTGAAATGAAGTAATTACGTAAAGGTACGTAGATGAGTTTTAAGTATGACAAAATTATTTCTCTAAAATATTTCTATCAGTGTAATATATTTGAGATTATTTACAACTTAATGCAAACATTTGATATTACACTTTTCTTATGATCTTTATTTTTTTAATCATAAAAATTTCTAATTGTAATGAATTAATTTCACATAATCGATGATTTATCTTTAAAATTTTCTCAATTTCTATCATTTTTCAAATCAAATTTTCTCACGAATGACTACACTTCCGTTTGATTTATTTCCATTGTTTTTTTTTTTTCCTCTCTTTTAAGCTATATTAATGAAAATTTTTTGTGTTTAACTGATAAACCTATCTGCCTTTCTTTGATTAGATTAGTCTGATCAGATTTACTTTGTTCAAAATTATTTTGGGTATAATTTTTCAATGCTATATTTTTAGTTTAATTTATTTCCTTGAATTTTTGCTGCTAGTATCAATGAATTCTTTGATATAATCATTATACAGTGCTCTTAAACTATGTCTGTTATATAATTTTTGTTAATAGTTAATAATTAATATTTTAATCATCTTTATAGCATGCTCTTTTCATATTTTTTTTTTTTGCATCATTTTTATTAATTAATAGTTACAATCATAATATCTGAATGTACAGATGAGTGATTTGAATTTTAAAATGGTATAATTTCGAATTTATTAGAGGTAAAAAGAATTAAAAAGAATAATTTATTAGAGGTAAAAGAATGATATAAGAATGTAAAAAGAATGATAAGCATTAGGCCTAGTTGCAAAGATTATTGAATAGTTTATAATTAATGAGAAATTATTTCCACATTACATCATTACATTATTGTTCACTGCATTTATCTTCAAAACAATACATTAAGCTTATTTTGTTAAAAAGACTAATTGATGATCGAATATAGAAATGGAAATGTCATTAGAGTTGAGTTTACATCGAGTAATTAAGTACCTATCATTTCATATACTTTTTCATAATAAATAAAAATGCTTCTCTGTCTCTCTCTTTAGTTGTAAATAACTTCCCTTAAATGCTGCATACAACTGTTTCTCTATTTTTATTTTAATATAAACCTATATTAGCACTTTTGTTGACATTAAAAATTTTTACCACATCCTCTATCACATTATAATTTAAAAACATAGTAATTATATCTTAGCTTCATATTATTATTTATAATTTAAAAAAAAAAAAAAAATCCCACCTTATTATAGAAATTTATTAAGTTTTAGTACTTTCATTTAGTTTTTCTTTAAGAATTTGAAAGAAAGAGAAAGACTGAGAGAGGGAGAGAGAGAGAAGAGAGAATTACAAGAGAGCTATTATAAAGGTAAAATCATTTTGATAGACATAACATTACTTTCCTCTAATCTGTTAACATATTGAACGAATAGATGAACTACTATAGTGCAAGTGACAATTAAATAGGTCATCATCATGTGACAGTAATTATACACGAATACATGGATTCAGTCAAGTTGAAAATACTATGTTGTTTATGTCAACATCATTCATCTTCTTCAGTAACTCAATTCTTCTTCATTATCTTGTTGATATGATGTAATAGAAGATGTCTGTTTAATAAGTTTATCTATCAGTTTTCATTTTAGTATAACTATTTAAGAAATAACTACTTACTCTATTATTTCTTATACCACTTTTAAAATTTCATTATATTTTATTAAGTTTCATTTTATCAATCTTATCGCATAATTTCCTTTCTGATTTATTTCGTTTATAAGATCATTTATTCTATTTGATTCATATTTTTAAGTTTGAGTAAAAATTGTAGATATCCGTGCCACGAATACATTATTTGAAGAAGCAATAGCTTATCTATCATTTTTTTTTTTTTTTTTTTTTTTACTTTTTACTCATAGATATAGCTATAATGATTAATATTATTTGTCATAAATATTATGATTGATATTGTTTAGCATAATTTTAAAATTTATCTTCAAAATAAGAATTTTGAATAGGTTATTTAAACAGGTTCTTTCGACAAATATTTTATAAATGTAATCATTTTCAAACAAAAACTCATTTTACCTTATTAAATTAAATTGCGATTTTCAATTTTTTAATAAAATATATAAGTTTAATAGATATTTATTATTTTTATAGATTTAAATGATAAGCAATTCAGTTATCATTCATGCTATTCTCACTGTTTGATGATGTGTTATGTATGAGAGAATTTGAAAAGAAATTATAATTATTTGAATTACTTGACGACTGTCTTCATGTATTTCTCTTCGAATCATCATTTGAGTCGTCTGTCTTCTTTATCTGATTTTTATCAACTTACCTTTCCCATTGATGATATCGATGGTGATATTCTATCGCATTCCAGAAGTGTAAGTGAAGATTTTGCACTTAAAAAAGTTTATTTTAGAAAATTTTGTATGGCTTAAATTGTGACAGACATTTAAATTGTGTCACAACATTAAATATTTATATGTTATGGATTAATTAATCACTTAATTAATGATACTTTATTCGATATTTTGCATACAGTATAAGTGTACGCAATAAATTATCTGATATGTAACGAAAGTTTTCAAATTTTTTTTAAATTTCACGAAATTTACGAATATCTCCTAGCTACTTACCTTTTCAATTTTCATTCAGGAAGAAAAAAAAAATGTACATTTAGCTATAAAATTGTAATATAATGTAATTAAAATTGAGTAAAAAAAAAAAATTGTAATCAAGTTGATGCTTGGAAAATAAAAAATTTGAAAATATATTTTTAATAAAATTTGGTAACTTAAAAAATAGCTATGTATAAAAATAATTGCAGAAATCGACGGATGACAGTCATTCGACAAAAGAAACATTATCTGATATTCATCAACAACTGAATCAGTTGGCATCTGAGAATTTGGTATATTAAACATAATAGATTATACATATTCAATTTTGATCCTTGAAGAAGAAGAAGAAGAAATCGTAAACGTTTATTTTTATTGAGTTGTTTTAAGTTGTTTATTGCTGCATTATTAAACAAAAGAATTAAGGAATTTTCGAAACTGCGTATGTAAAAAACAGTTATTTGAATTAATTAATTTGAATATTATAATCTAGCATAGTTGGATTTTAATTAAATTAAATTGATTTTAGTTTCATATGAATCATACGAATTTTAGGAAATTTTTGAATTTTTTTTTTCTTATTTTTTATTTGATTAATTTTTTGTATATGTTTTAGAGTTTACAAGACAAAATCAATCGACAGTCCGATGAACTGTCCGAAGTGAGAGCACAATTACGTGGCTCTTCCGGACGAATCACTTTTTCACTTGGTTAAATTTAATCAGTCTTTTTGATTAGTTATGCATTTTGGAAATTTTAAGCTACAATATACCATAGAAGTTATTGTGAGCGGAAATTACCAAATTTTTGACAGTAGAGTAAATATCGGACTTTTAGCTAATGAATGCTAATGATTTATGACTAATGATTGATATTTTGGTAGTTTCAGTAGTTATTCAATGAAACAAATATTTTAAAAGATTTTTATTATTTCAGATAATGCCTCTGATGCAGATATCATTCGTTTGGAAATGCTAAAGAAAGATAATGTTGAACATTCTTCACTTCTAGAAGTTTTTAATGTACCAGAATTCACAAGAATACTTGTTTGTGGTAAGTTCTATTTTATTAAGCAAGATTAAAAGTTTTAAGTTTTTAAACTTTAAAAAAGGAATGTTATTCATTGGACTCAATTTAAGCTTGTACTTCAAGTATGTCATATTGAATCGCAAGACATTTTCTCTGTGAATTTTCAGATTTCAAAAAAGTTTAGGGTATTTTATTATTTCTTCATTTTCACTCCTATAACTTTCTAGTATTTTTTATTATATTTCCTGAAATTTTCGGAGCAAAAAATAAAAAAAACAAAAAACAAAAAACAAACAAATGTTTAGTTGATTTAAATCTGCCAAATTTATATTAGCTTACAGATTTGAAACCACGACTTGCTCGTCTCTTAACACCTTGCTTGCCGGCATATCTTCTGCTTGCAGCCTTCCGATACTATGATCATATCAAAGACGAAGCTGGTCTTACTGGTTTATTTTCAGCTATTCATATAGTGCTGAAGGATACATTATCAGTTCGTTATCATTTAAGATTTTATTACATCTATACTATGTAACATTCTGATATGATAATTGCTCTGATATGATAATTATTTGTCCTTATGAGTTAGAGAAAGACGTAATTGCAGCACTATCATTTTTTAAATTTTAATTTCTTTTTTCTGAATTCTGATTTTTTTGGCGATGACAGAGAAATATTGAACAGAAAACTTGAAAAATACTAAGATCTGTTTGTATCGTTTCAAATAAATAGCAAATAAGTCATTATTTATTTACATTTGCTATATTATAATTTTTATTAAATTCTAGCTTTTGTCTAATTAAGCATTCTTGCTAACATTTTTGAAACATAATCAATTTTAGTGCTATTTCTAACTCTCATCTTACTGTCATTTTTAGCATTCAAATGATATGGATGTATTATCATTATGGTTGGTTAATTCGTGGCGTTTATTAAATCTTTTACGACAGTACAGCGGTGAAAATAACAATGTAAGGCATTGTGCAATAAATTTGAAAAAAAAATTTTTCTTTTTTTTTTTTTTTTTTTTGTGATATAATAAGGATTTTTCAAATAATTGTTTTCAGTTCTTTTAAATATAGAGACAATTATTTTGTTGGATGAGAATTTCAGTGATTTTGTTCCTTTTTTTCAGGAATGGTCTATGGCCAATTCTGAAAAGCAAAATAATCAGCGAATGCAAAATTTTGATCTAAGTCCTTTACGAAATCAACTTCGTGCTCGTGTTGAAGAATCATTTCAAAATCTTTTAAAACGATCTATTGAACCAGTACTTTCACCAAAAATAGGTTAATTTTTCAAGATAAAAACTTTTTTTTTTTTTTTGTAATATTTTAAAATTTCATGACTAATTTTTTTTTTTTTTTTTTTTAACTCAATAAATAGCTCTTATTTGATAGTTCCTGCTATATTGCAACATGAATCGAGTCAAAAGATGATGAATGGTATCAGCGTAGAGAATAATGAACGACGACGGTCAATGAAGGAGCAAAGTTCACAGCGTGCTTTAGATGATTTAATTGAATTAGTTAGTATTGTTCATTTTATAAGCTAACTTCAGAATGAATTACATATTCAAATAGTTTTACATTTTGTATTAATTTTTAAAATGAAATCAATCAATAAGCTTCTTTTGCTATGAATTTAATGGTTTAAATCACGTATGGTTATACTTTCATTCATCCTTTTTCAGCTAAATTTCATTCAAAACAAACTCAAAGTATATGGAGCAGATTCTGTGCTATTAGGACAAGTGTTCGGACAAATGACCTACTGGATTTGTGCACTAGCATTAAATCATTTGATGTTTAGAAAAGAATTATGCAATTTCGAAAAAGCTATACAAATCAAGTAGATTCTAATTTAATTAAATAAAATTATAATTTAGCAATTATTTAATCGGTAAATTAAGTAAAATGATGCATATCATAAAAAATTATAACTTTGTTTTTGTATTTATATGCTACACTAAATTTAACTTCTTCAAAGACAATCATTAACTTTAATTCAACATTCCAGACATAATGTTACCGAAGTGCAGTCATGGCTTTCTGCAAATGGACTATCTGCACATCGTGAAACTTTAGAACCGTTGGTGCAAGCATCTCATTTGCTGCAATCTAAAAAAGATGAATCAAATTTGGACACTTTATGTGGTGAGATGACCTCAAAATTGAAGCCAAAACAGGTGAGCTGGGACCTCTTTAATTTAGCCTTAATTTTGAAGAATTTTTGTTGAGTAGAAGCTTTCTATTCAATGCCATGCATGATTTAATTCAACTTATAATTATTGAATAAAAAAGCTAAAGATTGTAATACGAACACACATATTACCTTACAAATTAATTAAAAACTTTTGAAGATCAACTGTTCAATTACCGTAGTTCTTGTAGTATTACTTAAATTATCTTTTTATATTTATCCAAATACAATAATAAATGCAATTGCATCTTTTATCAGTATTCCGATTAAAAATTAATTGCGCTATCTTGTGATAAAGTTTTACGAATACTTGTGATAAAGTTTCACCATATATTTTAGTAATTTTTTATAATGTATATATTTGATGAATATAATTTTCACTATAGGCATACCCATTCAATGTGATGCATTTCTTGACCAGTGCTATTAGTGACTTCAATTGCAGGTGATGGCAATATTGCAACATTATGCTCCAACGGATGGCTTTGAAGAAAGACGATTGAGTCCTGATTTTCTAATTAAAGTTTCTGAAAGGTTAAATGCCAGAACAAGAGCAAATGGTGGAACAGATGCTGATATTGTAAGTCTTTTTTTTTTCTCTCTCTCAAAATTCAGTAAACTGATAAGCGTAATATAGTTTTAAATTCAGAAACTTTGAATTGTTACACATTGAAATTCTTATATATTTTATCGATAAACATAAAATATGTTTCAGAATACGCTGATTATGATGGGTACTTATTTAACACCTTTCAATTCTGAACCATTTGTTTATTCGGATTTTAACCTGGAAACATTATCGTTACCCACATGTTTGCATTTGCAAGCAATTTGTAAGTTATTATAGGATGAAATACTACTTCGAGTTGTTAATGAAATATTATTGCATTTTTGAATCACTTTCAACTTAAAATAAAACTTGACATGTTTGAGATGTTAATTTATAAGGTATACGTTGTTCTGGAATAAGCTATTGAAATTATTTATAGCTCTTTTTCTTGCTATATATATTTGATATGCATGTTAATAGTGATGCAAAAAAGAAAAAAGAAGACTGATTCATTCTGCAATGGATTAATTTTAATGTTTTTGCTATGATTTCTGTTTAGCTTTTTCGTTGTATATATAATTTCTTGCTATATATATATATTACTTCTGATCAATTGCAATATTTTTTTTTTTTTTAAGCATTTTATTATGTTTATGAAAGATGATTGTTCATTTTAAAGAGGCGAAGCGCTATCATGCAATTTTATTATAAATTCTCGAAATGTAAAGAATTTCCGAAAATATTTCTTCTTTAAAGTTAAAATCCATTATTCTACTGTATAAACGTATAAAATGAAACCTGTATTGTATTACGCGATAAACTATTTTTGTTAATAAGTAAAAGTTAATGGGTACTTTTTAAATTGTTGAAGAGAGATTTTGAATCTTCTTATATATTATCAGTATATAAGAATGGAAGCTATCATCCTTCAATTTTTTAAAATGATAGTTTACATTGAAGATAATATTATGGCTGTTTCACCAATGTTTTTACCTATCATTAGCATATTTTAACTTAGTGTATTGTATATCAATCGACTGCACTCGATAGTTCTATTTTTTTAATTTATCACATTTAAATAAATGACTCACTCATTCTTTCAAAAAAAAAAAAATCAAGCCAATAATGAAAGAGTCTTACGTATGAATATATGCATATGCTTATATCAATAGATAAATAGAATTAAAATAGCAGGACGCATAGTAAGAAGGCTGTGGCTGAGAATTATAGGCTATTAAATTTTGAAATCATGAATTGTCTGCGTTCATATGCAAATCTATAATTTTATTTCTGAAATTCAAGGAATGGAAATGTCGCAGATTTCTTCACAGCGGTTGGTCTTAAAGTTAAATATAACAATCCTAACATCTGTACCTCGTACCTCATCTTAATAAATTCTAAAAATTCATTCAAAAAGTGCTGCTAATTCTAAAATGGTTTATTAAGGAAAATATACATGATCAGGATGGAAAAAAAGACTGCAACAAAGCTTACATTTGAATTGATCTCCCAAATTGAAGAATTGTTTTTGTTCAAAGAAATCAAATAAAATAAATTTTTGCGAGGTTAACAAAAACTACTTCATTTGTGTGCAATAGATTTCGTTAAGGATTTGATATGAGAAAAAAGAGGGGAAAGAGTGAGAAAAACTTTTAAAAATATAAAAATCAGGCACAAAACACAAAGTATTTTACATTTTTATGACAACTATTACTTTATATATCAGAGGGAAAAACAGCCCTGTGATATCATTTCAACATTTTCGACTTCTTAATTTTTTTATTTTATTATATCCAAATTCAATTTTCTTAGTTGGGATTAATATTCTGCGATAGAAATTATTCATGCAATATTATTGCTTTTTTGTTCTTTACTGAATAATTTTCACATATGATATAATTGATTTATTACTGTTTAATTGATTAATGTAATTATTAATCAATTATTATATCTACAAATAATGCAATGTATGATTAACACTTTCTCTTCAATCACAGACGTAATAATTCATTGTAACAACAAATTTAATTCATAATAACAATTAAATTTCTAAATGACATTTGCGCCAACCTTTGTTACTCTATCCTTTTTATAACAATAGCAGTAATATATTTGCATTCTCATACGACCTAAGACGCACCAAAGTACCAGCAATACTTATCCCCAGTACTCAGCCACTAGGCCAGCAAGCCTAGGGCTCAGTGTTGTATTTACACACTGGACTTCATCGATGCTTTCCGCTTCCAACTCACTTCTCGGCTCTCTCATTCATTAGCACACTATTTTGACAATGTGGCGACTATTGAAATTTTGTGACATCGCTTTCTCATTGCGCGAAAAGCACTGTTCCTTCTGCTCAGTGTTCCCGTAGGATTGGTACTGTTCATATTAGTACTGGTCGGTTATCAGTTCGATCGGTCTCTTTGGTTAATATCATTAGTGTTTATCAGTTATCACCTCGTGATCGTCTTTGGTTAATATCATTAGTGTTTATCAGTTATCACCTCGTGATCGTCTTTGGTTAATATCATTAGTATTTATCAGTTATCATCTCGTGATCGTCTTTGGTTAATATCATTAGTATTTATCAGTTATCATCTCGTGATCGTCTTTGGCACTAGTATTGATCAGTTATCATCTCGTGATCGTCTTTAGCACTAGTATTGGTCAATTGTCATTTCGTTATTATTTCTTTCGATAAAACTCTTTTAGATTAAAATATTGGCTAAATCATCATTTCAATGCTTAGTTGAAAACGATTGTTAAAATTTACAAATTTCACGTTATCATTCAATGATTTCATACTTTATTATAAATGATCTCATCTTAGTTACATATAACTGATCTAACGTGAACCACGTATTTTTTATATTGACGTAACTCCTATAATCAAACGTAGGTAATTTGATCGTGTTGAAATGGTATCAGTTGGACGCATTGCTGTACTAATTGATTTGTCCGGAACGCTACATATTGACGATATTTGTATTGCGGGAGTTCCAGCAGCTCTACAACGATTGAGGGATAATCCTCGTTATGCTATCAAATTTGTTACCAATACAACAAAGGTAATTAATCTTTTGATGATATTTCATGAAATACTGCAATCGACAAGTGTTGAAACGACAAGTGTTGAGAAATATAAAACAATTTATACTTAAAGTTTTATTCTGCTTTTAGTAGAAATAATGGATCTAACTGTAAGCATCTAATTGTAAGAAATTTTATTTGTAAGAATCTAATTGTAAAAAATTTTCTGTATGAATTTTTAAATTTCAATATAACCACTTTTATTTTTTCAATTTTATTTCTATAACTTTCATTAATATATTTTATTGATTCTGTTTACTTTTTGATATTATTTTATGAGGTTTCTATTGCATGCTCGGATCCATTATTTCTATTAAAAGCAGAATAAAACTTTAAGTATAAATTGTTTTAAACTTCTCAACACTTGTCGTTTCAGTTTCTTTGACTTCAATTAATTCATCAAATAATAAGTTAATTGTCTAAAATTATCCTACTGCTATTCGCAGAATAACTGTTGCTTAAATAACAATTTTATTTAATGTCTTAAGTCTTTCTATGTAGGACTTCTATATATATATATATATATATATATAAACAGTAGTCTCTGTTTGCTTCGACAATTTGGAAACTTAATTAAATCCAGAATTAAAAAATTTAGGAAATCCATAGACGCTTTTGAGTTTAATTTCATTTTTTTTTTTCAGGAATCATTGGGTAGACTTCATGTATGCCTTACAAAGCTTGGATTGGGAATTAAACGATCAGAAATATTTACTTCACTTATGGCAGTTAAACATTTCATCAAAAAGGATAATCTACGACCGTTGTTACTTCTAGAAAATGCTGCACTTGAAGATTTTGAAGGTAAATATTGTCGAGTATTTTATTTAATTTGGTATAATTGAAGAGCATGATTAATCTGCCATTTTATTTCCATCTTATTCTAGAAATATTCACTAACTATCATAGTACTATTAGAATGCATTAATTGATGATATGATTTAGATGTGGATGTTAAGGAACCAAATGCAGTAGTTGTTGGACTTGCTCCCTCCAAATTCACTTTTGCATCTTTAAATAACGCATTTCGATTACTATTAGAGGGTGCGAAATTGGTTGCCGTTCATAAAGGACGATATTATAAACAAAAAGATGGTTTGTCATTGGGACCAGGTCCATTCATAGAAGCTCTTGAATATGCTGCCGATGTTAATGTAAATCTTCTTTAATAGAGCTATTATTGTATTGCTTAGTATTGCTGGTTTATCATTTTTATTCTGAGATCCATTTATTATCATTTTCTTCAGAAAAAAAAAAAATAAAATAAAAAATAAAAACGATGGAAAATGAAATTACTATGTAATATAGGTTTTTTTTTTTTTTTTTTTTTCATTAGTCTCAAGTGGTCGGTAAACCGGAACGTGCGTTCTTTTTGACGGCTTTAGCTAGTATCGATGAATCTTTAACGCCGCAACAAGCTGTGATGATTGGTGATGATGTTCGGGATGATGTTCTTGGGGCTATTAATGCTGGAATGCATGCAATCCTTGTAAAAACTGGCAAATATTGTAAAGGTTTCTTTGTTGTTTTATTTCATATAATCATAATTTCATTTATATATCTCAATTTGAATGCAGTTTAACGATATGATGGAAATTTTCACTCGTAGTTTCATGTTAAAACTAGGAATAAACCAGTGAATTAGTTAATATTTGTTAATGCCATCAGTGAAAAAAGATAAGAGAACTTGATTGGCTTCCATTTCTATTTATGCATATGCTTAACTGATATTGATGTTTACTAATTTACAAATTAAAATAGTTTAAAGTTACAGAATTACATTTTACTCCAATTCGTATCCAATTTTACAGATTTAAAACCTAATTTTGCAGGCGATGAACTTCAAATACCTGAGGCTTCAAGGAACTGTGTGGAGAGTTTTGTAGAAGCAGTTGATTTAATTGAAAAAAATCTTGTGAAGTGATACTTTTGGATCTGATTTTTAGAACGAAAAATTTTGGGTGAAGTTTAAGTAACCGAGAAATCTAATTTGTTGTTAGAGTAATGATGCAATGATTTTGAATGTTCAACAGTTGCAGTATTAATTCATTTATTCAATTTTAAAAAATATGTGTATGCATTTGCGATTATATTTGAAAAATGTACTTAGCACAATTGTATAACAAATTTTTATTTTATGTTTCAGTTTGATGTTTTCATTTATGAAATAGACATGTTTCAAAGTTGTAAATAAGTTGGTATTATATTGCTTATACTATTATTAGTTCTCCTTTACTTTCTTTCTTTTCTGAAATTTATTTGCTTTTCCCAAGATTTTCAGTATTTTCTCGTAAAATATTTTTCTGTGAAGCTTTATCAATTTGCATTTTAGATGATATGTTTATTTTCAATGTTATATGAGCATAAAGTTTGGTTTCCTTCCTGAGACAACTATAATTATGATGTCAAGTATGAATAATTCCTAAATGTTAGCAAATTTTTGGCAACATTTAAAAATTATTTTGAAAATAAAGGAAAAAACATTTTCAGAATTACTTCGAGCATTTGTGCATTTATCATTGATAAAGGATGTAAGTAAAGGTAAGCGACAAAACATATATTTTGCAAATTAAATAATGCAAAAGCATAATTATAAAAAAGATAGTAAAATATTTTGGGAGGTCATTTTTTATAATTTGGCGATGAGATATTAACAGTACATTTGTATTAAACGAAATATAAAATATTTTATTCCACCTGACGGGTAATCTTTTATTATTGTAATGTATTATTCTGGGTGAAGGAAGTTGCATGAATTTCAGTTGCATGAGTATGTAAGAAATTGATATTAACTTGATGAGTCTTTGAGTTTAAACAATTAATTTTAGAATTTCGAATTTAAAATTTGAAATGAAGCGAAACTTTAGTTCTGGAACAGTAGCTAGTAAAAGATTGCGTAAGAAGGAAAGGAATTTTCTTTGATTTCTTTTTTTATGTAATTTTATTATTAAACTATTAAACAGTTACTTTAAGCATGTTTGTATTTATATATGCAATTGAACATTTCTAGTTTTCAATTTTATAATTCAATTGATGAAATTATTTTTGATAAGCTATCAAATATAATTTTTTAACATTGCAAAGAACGAAGAGAATTTTAGGATACTACAAAGCTGGCAACTTATTTATCACTTCAAAAATTGGAATTATTTCTTTCGTGCTGTTTCTTCCCAGTCGTATGGATCAGTCAATTTGCAATCACAAATTACTGATGACTGAAATTAATAATAGAAGATCATAGATTAGCATATTATGGCTGTAATTCTCTTTCATCTTATTAAAACTTCAATTAATTTTTGCAAATTTCTGAAATGCAAAGAATAATTAATGATATTATATTTAGATCAACTATCTGTTTAGTATTTAAATTAATTCATTTAAAAAAAAAAAAAATTCAATAAATAGAATAAAACTTGACTTTTATTAAAAAGTAAAAATAATATCAATTAAATGAAAAAAAAAAAAAAAAAAAGAGAGGTACCGTTTTCAATAATTCATATATGTACGAATAATCGACGCGGTCTTCATAATGTAACGAATCAATGTATTCTAAAATTTTGCCAAATTCTTCCTTACATTTCATTCCATACAACAGTTTGTCTCGATTAATTCGACTTTCTTCTTTCATCCTCATCACTTCATTCTTATCCGATATTTTCCTCCATGGTAAGCCTTAAATTAGTTTTTTCTTTTTTTTTTTTGAATTTCTCAAATTAAAAAAATATGCTATTGAAGAAGTGGAATAGTTATGAAATAGTAAATAAGCAAAATGACAAATATTAGAAAGTTTTTTTATATGGAAAAAAAAAAAATATATATATATATATAAATGAGCCTGGTACGTATTGTGAGATATTGAAATAATTAGTCTGATACCTATTATGAGATACTGAAATAATTAGCCTGATACCTATTATGAGATATTGAAATAATTAGCCTGATACCTATTATGAGAAACTGAAATAATTAGCCTGATACCTATTATGAGAAACTGAAATAATTAGCCTGATACCTATTATGAGATACTGAAATAATTAGCCTGATACCTATTATGAGATACTGAAATAATTAGCCTGATACCTATTATGAGATACTGAAATAATTAACCTGATACCTGTTACAACAAGAAGATCGAGAAGAAGATAAAACCATGATTCACAATCATCTTTTGGGCCTAATTCTTTTCGTTTATGGCATGCTATAGGTGCAAATTTTACGGTACCCTTGAAACCAACTGTTACACGAGGTGTCTTAATTTCACCTTTATCGTTGAGAATTCGTCGTGCTATACCAAAATCAAGAATATAAATCTAAAATTTCATATTAATAAATTATTCATAGAATTTTTTTCTTCTTTTTATCAATCAAATTAAGAAGAAATTATTTTACATTAAATTAATTGTATATGTATTTTAGCTAATATCTGACAATAATTTATAATTATAAAACAAACTAACGCATCGTATTTGAGCTCCAAGACCAGTTGCATAATTAGCTGGCTTTAAATCTCGATGAATAAAACCATGTTTATGTAAATCTTCCACTGCTTCAAGACATTGTATTGATGCTCCCAAACCAGTATGCATTGAGAATACCTATGATATAATTTCATTTCATTTCCAATTTTAATTCTTATTATTTCTAAATTTTAATTCTCATTATTTCTGCTAATACAGTCATTCACAAATGTTTATAACCTACAAATGATCATTTTTTAGTATTAACATTAAAATTTATTATTATTGTGTCAAATTGGTTCATTTGTTTGAAAAATTTTTGTTATTATTATTATATGAATAGTGATAGTTGTTATGATCAAACTACTTAATTTTAACTTAGTTACTTAATTATATAAGTCTATTATTTAATTATTCAATTATACAAATAATGTATTAATTTTTACTTACATAGAAGTAATTATCATTTTTAACTTCTAATGACAATATTTACCTTATGCGGTCGTAAAGCTTTAAGATCGGCAAGTGATTTTCCAACGAGTTGCATAACAAGAAAAAAAAATTTCTCCTTCTTACCTCGATCAATAATTTTTGTAAAATGCGACTTTTCCGCTCGTTCCATTGAGACTAATTTCAAAATAGCAATCTAGAAAAAGAGAAGTATACTTTGTTATCAATAGCTATGAAAAAATGTTTCTGATGCTTAAGTCAGAAATATCGTAACAAAAGTGACATTTCATTTTAAAATATCAAGAAAGACAGATATCATTCATTAACCGGTTATTGTACAAAGAAAGCAGATATCATTCATTAACCGGATGTTGTACAAAGAAAGCAGATATCATTCATTAACCGGATATTGTACAAAGAAAGCAGATATCATTCATTAACCGGATATTGTACAAAGAAAGCAGATATCATTCATTAACCGGATAATTTTACCTCCATTTTGAGTTTGGAATCTTTACGTGTTTCAAGTTTACGTTCCACTTTCAATGCGTACTCCATACTCGGATTATTGGAATCATGAACCCGGTATACGGCTCCAAAACCACCTTCACCAAGTAATTTATCAATTGTATACTTTGCATGAGATGATTCAATCACCGAACCCTAAAAAAAGAAATTGAGATTTCTTTTTTTTTTTTTTTTTGTGATTTCAAACGGATTTCTCTTTTTTTTTTTTTTTTGAAATTTTAAAAAAGTTTTCTTTTTTACAGCAATTACAGCCATAATGTAGTAATCTATGATCTTCTATTATTAATTTTAGTTTCAAAAAAAATATAATCAATCAAATAAAAAAGAAGAAAATTAATTTCACTAACTGGTTTAAGACCGAAATCCTCCTCCTCCTCACTATCCATCCTAAATCAAAGCAACAATTTTGTAAGTACAAACCACTCAACCAAGAAAACTACAAAGTATATCATCTTATTGCTAACATTTCTAGTATTTTTATAGTGTAATCATTTGTAAATTTGTATATTATACAAAATTTTTTTAATTATTCACTCTTCAAAATGTAACCAAACATAAAAATTTAACAATTAAATTTAACATTTATGAAAATTTTTTCAAAATATGTTAATTTATTCAAAATTTATGCTTAAATTATAATTTAATATGTAATAATTATGCAAAAAATTTCTAAACATTAGTATAAAAAGTGAAACTTACATGACAATAATCACTTCTATTTCATTGTATGAACGTTAAATTTCAATTTTTCAAATTTTCTTGAAGAGGAAACTGATCGATTATAGTAGCAATAATGTTTGATGTGCTGCAAGGATTGATCGGTTTTATCATTTTTTCATCAATTTTATTCACCGCTTCATTAATTATTTGTGAAAGTAATTCACGACCACAACGAAGAGTAATTAATATTTTCTTTATTTAATTTAATTTTTTTTTTCTCTTTCTTTTTTAACAATTTATTTATTATAATTAATTAATAACAATTATTTGTACAAATATTTTTATTTTCATATCATAATTTTATGATTGTTTTAATTCAATGTTTTATTTCGTATAAAATTTATATTTGCTTTAAAGATTACTTAATTCAGGAAGCAAATTTTAGCACAATGAGGGAATGAGAAATGATAAAAATTATGCAAAAACTGATACAATTAGTCAAACTGGAAAATTCGGCGGAAAGAAATCACATAGCAAAACAATGTCTACGGAAAGCACAAAGGTAATCATTTTTATGATAAATAATTATCAGTAAAAATTAGTAATAATAAAAAATTATCAGTAAAATTAGTAATCACTCTCTATTCTTTTTTGCTCTTTCTTTTCAGCAATTTATTTATTATAATTAATTAATAACAATTATTTGTACAAATACTTTTATTTTCATATCTTTATCTTATAATTGTTTTGAATTAATATTTTATTTCTCTTTGTTGCTATTGAGAAGTTTAATTTCAAAATTTGAAAAAAAAAATTATTAAATTCAAAAATTCACATTCTTTAGAGGGTTGAAAAGCGAAAAGCACAGAAATTATTGAAATCGAAATCAAAAACGAACAAATCAAGAAAGTTTTCAAAACAGATCGATTCATCAACATCGACCAAATCTGTGGAAGATCTTTCAATTAGACAGAAACAAAGCAGTAGATGGGAAAGGTTCCCAAAGGTTACCCAATTTCATTCGTTTTATTCATTATGAAATTTTCTGGAAAATTAAATTTCCTTCGATTCCGAAAAAATAAATTTTGATATATCACAGTTCAAAGTTCTTTTTTTCTCACCAGTTGAATAATAAATGTAATAAAAGTTTCTTACAGTTTCAAATCTAGTATAAAATAATTAATTATCAAGCAAAATAATTAAAAATATAAAAGTTATTATTGACTGATGAAACAAAATTTTCTATTCAGTTATATTTCCATGAAATTTTTGGAATTTCAAATTTTAAAATTCAAAATAGTTTTTAATTGATTCTTTTTGCAGAAGATTGATCATAAAATTATTTTTATTAGTTTTACATTAATCCTTTTAGGAACCATAGCAAAAAATAAAAAAAACTTTTCAACTCATATTTCTATTCAACTTAGAAATTAAATTATTAGTTTAAATAAATGAAAATAAAGAGTAGAAATCAATTTCATCAATGAATGCTAAATAAAATTTTGAGAAATTTTTATTACTAAAAGACACTGCCCGAAATAGTTTATTGAATTTTAATTTCGACCATAAATTATATTTTGTCTTATCTTTTGACCCATAATTAATTAATTATTGAAATTTGGAAGGTGTAACAAAATGTTGCATTTTCAGCATTCAACTACAAATGGTTTCATGATTCGAAATATAGACGGTAAATTTTTCTTTTTCTTGATAACTTTTATTTAATTTAAATTTTTGCATCTGAAATAGTTGGAATTACAAAGGAAAACTAAATTAAAATAAAACAAATTTTATTTTTGCATGGAAAAAAAAAAAAAAAAAAAAAAAAAAAAAAAAAAACTAAACATTTGTAGAAAAACTAAAAGAAGGATTAAAAATGGAGCCAAGATTATTAAATTGGAATATCTCAGGTGGTATTCAAAAAGTATACTTAACAAATCCTACTGATGAACGGAAAGCAATCAAGGTGGAATGATTTTTCTTTCGTTTTTGCTAATTTAAATTTACCGTAAATGAAATTTGCGGTGTTATATTGATATTTATTATTACTGTTATCATTATCATTTTTATCATTTTTATCATCATTATCTATGTTTTATTTATTATCAACTACTCATAATCAATGCTACTTTCACATATTAATGTAATTAATATATTTAATTTAAAATCTAAAATTTTCAAAACTTAGATTTGGAAATTTTTGAAGAATTTTATTGTTGCATGTAAAAATTTAATTAAAAATTTTTTATAGGTGAAATGCTCGGATAATTATTTGTATCGTGTTAGTCATGTTTATAGTTTTGTTGAACCAGGTGAAACAGCCGGAATTGATATCATTCGTCAGAATGGTAGTGCTAAACCTGATAAAATGATTTTCCTCTGGACAAAGGTATAAATTTTTTTTTCATTTTATTTTTTTACAAATTTAAAGTCATATTCTAACTTTTTTTTTGTGTTATTTAAAAATTCTAACACTTCATTACTACCATTATTAATTTATTTCTAAATTCATTAATGAATTTTTTTTTTTACCTTTTAAATTGTTAACTTTTTACTTTGTTTTTGTTTTAGGCTGAGAAAAGTGACGAGAATGCTTCAAAATTATTTAACAAACATTTTTCATATCCGATGGTTGTTTTACCTCTTACAGTTAACAATCCTATTGCATAAATGCAAATTATTTATAAAATTATTATGTATTTTATAATATTTGATGTCGTTCCTTTCTCTTTTTTTTTTTAATAAATTTTTGATAAAATTTTATTTCTTTATTCAACATTTTAAAAACTTTAACAGTTTACTCAACATTTTAACAACTTGAATTAAAAAAAAAAAAAAAAAAAAAAAACAAATATAACATTCCTTCGAGTCAGTTTCCATTTGAACATTTTAAAATTAATAATTGAAAATGATGAATGAAATGATATAAACTACTTATCAAAAATATTCATCTTATCATTTATCAAAAACATCTAAGATCAATACAGATCAACATAAGAGATTATTTTGGAAAAAGTTTCCTTTTTTTCTTAATTTTTTTTATCTCGAAAAACTGTCTTTTTTTTGATATCGAATAAAAAAAAAAATTGATAAATGATAAGATGGGTATGCTCTATGCAGTTGAAATTTCGTTACAAATGCTTCGTTATCATCGTAATGATTACAGTTATGATAAATTAATGTTTTAAGTATAACGAAAATAAAATTAGGAATGAAATATCAATTGACAAGAATTGCTTTAATGTTTTAATTAATTAAATTTATATCAAATTAAAATTAAAATTAATATTTAAAAAATGCAAATCTATTTGACTGATTATCATTTTTAAAATTATGCAAACTTTATTGATATTTATAATTGCTAAAGTTAACATATGCAAATTAATAATTGCATATAAAAGTAAATATAAAACTTCAAATTTACTCATAGTGTTATTTCTGTTTGTGTGACAATTAATTGTAAAATTTTAGGCATAAATTTATGAGTTAAATAATGGAAATATTTAATATCATCGAAATACTATTGACTTTTGTGATTCTACCGCTGGTTACTCTCATAGCAACATTAATTTCTTGTGGAAATTCACGACCAAAACAACAAGTAATCATTTTTTTTTTCTTCCTAAAATAAGATAAAAAAATATAATTTAATAAAATTATTGATTAACTATTTTTACTTATAGATGATATTATCAGCAATTTAAGTTGGAAAATTTCGAACAAATAAATTTTTTTTTTAAAATTTTAATCTGATATTAATATTGGCTTCTTTCTTTTTTTTTTTTAATTTGCAATTGTAAAATTTTAGGTAAGAATGACAAATAATTCCCAGCATGGATCTATGAAAATGGGACAGTATGAAAGATTTGGAAATTATAAGATCGGAAATCAAATCGGTTCTAAACGATCAGCAAAAACGGAAAAAACACGCAGCACGAGATCACGATCGATTGAATCAAATTCTAAATCACGCAGACAGAGAAGTCTTCCATTAAAGGCAAATTCACATTAAAGTCATTTCACTATTTCATCAAATGTTTGTAATTTAAATTTTAGTGAAAATTGAAATTTAAAAAATTTAATTTCAGCAAAGTCATCGTGCTAAACCATTAACATCAAATGGAATTAGTGCTGAGGTAAGATAATTAATTATCATTATCACTCGGATTATTATCATTCACTCTTTATTTATCCATGAGAAATGAATTAGTAATTCAATAATGCACACTTAAAATTCAATATTTCTTAAAATTAAACTTATCTGTATAATTTTATAGAAGTATAAAATACATAATAATCATCATTAATATTGATATTTAAAGAATTAAGAAGAAATCTACCAGTATTTTTTAAATAAATTTATACCAAATGATTAAACAAATTAATTTAAGTTATTCAGCACAATTAAATTTCATATATTCTTGATTATACTATAATCTATTTTAATTAAATTACAAAGCTATCCAAAAGCAATTGTTGAACAGGAATTAAATAATTAATCAGTCCATTTAGCATCATTTTCGAGATTAATTATACTTTTAGAAATCATCGAAAAGAAGCAAGAAATTAGAAGGTAAATTATTTCATCAATTCCCTACAAAAAAAATAAAAAAAAAAAAAAATTCTTTAAACAAATAGTTTTTAAATAATTGATAGATGACTTAATTAGCAATAATTTAATCCTAGAAAATTCATCGTTAATTTGCAAATTAAAAAAAAAAAAGATATTCATAAAAATTAGTGATGATTTTTGAAATTTAAAAAAAAAAAAATGAAAATATTAAAATTGTTTAGACGAGCAACGTGATCTAAAAATGGAACCGATCGAGTTACGTTGGAATACAACCGGTGGTGTTCAAAAAGTCTTCATTTCAAATCCGACCGATATACGTCGAGCAATTAAGGTTATATCTTTATTACATAAGCAATTTTATACTTTTCTCTTTCTATTTTTTTTTTTTTAACATTTCAAAAACTAAAAAAAATTCAAATTTATTTATTTGTTATTTAATACAAAAAACTTTTGAATTTTTTTTTTCATTTTAAAATTCTTTTATTATTTTATTTTCATTTTTATTATTTTATTGTTTTATTTTTATTTTTATTCAGTTCTATTATTTCATTTTTTTTATTTTTTTATATTTGTTTATTAACTTCTTAATTCAGTTGTTTGTTTAATTTTAAATTAATCATAACAAAAAATTTTATTATTAGAAAAGAGGGAATTCTGCTTGTGTGAAATTTTAGGTGAAATGTTCCGATAGTAAATTATATCGTGTAAATCCTGTTTATTCCTTCATTGAACCAGGACAAGTATTAGCTATTGACATTTTGCGCCAAAATGGTGGCGCTAAAGTGGATAAAATGGTTTTCCTTGCTGCTACGGTATCTTTTGAATAATTTCTGAATAATATCTGGGTAAATTAACTAAAAAAAAAAGAATAGAAAAAAGTTTATATTTCAACTTTTCAAAGAATTAAATATGTTTTTTATATCACTTGGTACTTTTTCCTAAATTGCTCCTACTTATTTCAGGTATTTAAATATACAAATATATTTCAGGCAAAGAAACAAGATCAGAATCCACGGGCAATATTTCAAGATAGCTTACCCAAACCAATGATGGTTTTACCACTAATTGCAACCAGCAATAATGCATAATAATTTTAGCACTTATAATCTGCTATAAATGACAGCAATTTCTAGAAAAAGCAAGAAATTTCCAAAATTTCTTCTCAATACAATGAAATTAAAGTAATTTCATTGAAATACTTGAAAAGAGCTATATGAAATGAATAAACTTTCAGTCTCATTTTATCTTCTTACTAATCAACTAATTATTATAATAAATAATAAATTGAAATACTTGAAAAGAGCTATATGAAATGAATAAACTTTCAGTCTCATTTTATCTTCTTACTAATCAACTAATTATTATAATAAATAATAAATTGAAATACTTGAAAAGAGCTATATGAAATGAATAAACTTTCAGTCTCATTTTATCTTCTTACTAATCAACTAATTATTATAATAAATAATAAATTGAAATACTTGAAAAGAGCTATATGAAATGAATAAACTTTCAGTCTCATTTTATCTTCTTACTAATCAACTAATTATTATAATAAATAATAAATTGAAATACTTGAAAAGAGCTATATGAAATGAATAAACTTTCAGTCTCATTTTATCTTCTTACTAATCAACTAATTATTATAATAAATAATAAATTGAAATACTTGAAAAGAGCTATATGAAATGAATAAACTTTCAGTCTCATTTTATCTTCTTACTAATCAACTAATTATTATAATAAATAATAAATTGAAATACTTGAAAAGAGCTATATGAAATGAATAAACTTTCAGTCTCCTTTTATTCTTCTTCCTAATTAACTAATTACTACAATAATAAATTCAAACAATGCTTGCCATATTTAGCTAACAAATTTTATTTGCTTTGATAAAAAAAAAAAAAAAAAAAAAAAAAAAAAAGCAATCCTAATAATTTATAATCGTCCTGTAATGGTCACTTCCTTGCCTTTTCCTTATCATTATTTGGCTATCCAATTGGCTACTCATTACTGACCACTACACTCAAACTAATTTATGTTTTCAATTATTTATGTTTATCAATAAACATTGTTAAAAAAGAAAAAAGAAATTGAATAAAATACATTGTTCGATAATTTGTTTGTAAGAAAAAAAAAGATAATTAACAAAAAATAATTACCACATGCATATAAAATATTGTTAATCATAATATCAAAAAAAAAAAAAAACAAATGAAATTAAAATGCGATGAATGTAAAAGAGTAAATTTTCTTTTTTTTTTTTTTTTAATTAATATTTTTAATTAAATTTTCAATTAATAGTGCTTCTAGTGTAATATTTCTAATTAAATTTTTAATTTAATTTTATAGATATAGTAAAAAAGATCTTTGAATTTTTTTTTTCTTCTTGAATCAGTCAGTAATTTTTGATAATATCATACGAAAAGAGTAACGTGATTTGGTGTGGAAAAAATTGATAAAAATAAAAATGAAATTACAATTTATTGATTTATGTTAAATTTTAATAAAATCAACAAAAAAAAAATTTTTTACTAAAATAAATTAAAAAAAAAAAAAAGATTGTATAAATAGCAAAAAATGAAATGCAAAGCTCATTGCATTTATTCATATTGCATTGTACAGCGGTGATTAGTGATTGTTACATACTTCAATAATTAATTCTATGGGGAATTGTGATAAGGATGCGGGTGATTCGGGTTCGAATAATAATTTAATTTATTAATTTAATAATAATAATAATCGAATTTTAATTTATTAATTTAATATTTTTAACAAAAATAAGTTATTGAATGAGTTATTTTGTTTCTTTCAAACTGAATATTAACCTTCTTTTCTTTTATATAACAATTTTAGACATATAAAATTTTTTAAAAAAAAAACGAGATAAAAATGTTTCAGGGATTCATTCACCTGAGCATTTATCCGGTTCACAGCGTAAAAGCTCACCGTCATCAGGATCTCGATGTGGATCAGGTCTTACTGGATCACCACGTGATCTTTCTCCTCCATTACTTCAGGTATTCAACTATTTTTAAAATTCGATTAAATTTTTCTTCTTTTTTGTTGCCAGCATTCAGAAATAAATAAATGAAATTAAATGCCATCAAAAATTTTTTAAATTAGGAATTGGCATGTATGAACCTTCGTGAGATGGCTTCTCGACCGGATTTTGGTCGTGCTGGACGTCAAATTGCAATTCGATCAAATTTCTTCGAAGTTGGCATTGTTAATAATAATATGATGGTTACACAGTATCATGTAGAAATTCATCATCCGGGATCCAGAAAACTTGACAGGTTTATCGTTTTCCTTTTTTTTTTTTTTTTTTTTCAGAATTTCCAAGATACTTTATTTTTCTGTAAGAGTAATAAATTTATTTGTGAAATTCAATTTCTTTCTTTTAGTAGTTTTGATAAAATTTGCCTACTATTTAGGAGTAAGATTATTCATTTAATTAATAATTATGATATTAGGTTATTTAGAAATAAATTTACTTATTCAATTATAACATTTGATATAAGATTATTTAGGAATAAAATTTGGTTAATTAATTCCGGTAAAATATAATAAATAACTTTCAGTAAGAGTAATAATTTTACATAATTTATTATTTATATATTTACAAATGCATCTGAAAATTTATAAACAAAAAAAAAAAAAAGTGAAAATATAGAGAGGAAAATCGTACGATATTTTGGAAAGTAATAATGGATCATTGTCAATATTTCCCAAATAAATTTGCTATTGCATATGACGGAGCACATCAATTATATACTCCAACACGTATTGAATTTCCTGAAGGACGTCCATCTGTTAGTTAAACTTTTCTAAATTTAAATTTAAATTTAATTATTTATATAAAAAGTATTTATTGTAGATTCGACTAGAAAGTGACGTATCATTGGCAAAAGATTCACGCGAACATACTCGTTGCGCAGTTTCGTTCCAGTGTGTTGGACCGGTACTGATTGAAATGCGGCGCACAAGGACGAATAATTTAGACGAAAGAATTTTAACACCAATTCAAATTATTGATATTATATTCCGTCAATCACTTACCTGTCCATATATCGAGTTCGGTTAAATTATCGTTTTTTTTTTTTGTTTTCTAATTATTTATTGGAATTTTCAACTTTTATTCTAAAAATAACTTAAACAAAAATTACCTTTAATCTTATTTCTTTTTTTTTTTTTCCTAATTATAAATCAAAATAATTAACAAACTAAAATAGTATACTAATTTTACTAATATTGTATCATGTATCATGTATTACGTTAGAAAACATATATGTTACAAAATTTAAATTAAACTCAAGTTATCAAAATTTATATATTGAAAATTTTACAATGCAAAGAAGCATTTTTAATTTTGAAAAAAATTTTTTTTTGAAATTTTTGTTTAGAAATTCTGCAAATTTTGTTGTTTACAAATCATCAAGCTATCGTTTACCGGTGAATGGTGGTACAGCATTAAATTTAGAAGGTGGCAGAGAGATGTGGACTGGATTTTTCTCATCTGCGCATGTGGCAGTCGGTTGGAAACCGCTTCTTAACATCGATGGTTAGTGCAATCATTTTCCATAGTAGAAATCAAAGCTATAAATAAAATTTGAATGCTTATTTGAAGAATTATTTTATAATTCAATCAATGATCAATGCATACTTTTAATATAACAAATTATTGAGGAAAAAAATATATATTGAAAAATAGGAAATTAAAAAAAGTTCCGTTTTATTCCGGATTTCGCTATTATCAATTGTCATTACAAAGAAGAAAATTATTTTGTTTACAGTAACGCATACAACATTTTATAAAGCGCACATGTCTTTGGTGCAATTTATGTGTGAAGTATTAAATGAAAAATCGGGTTATTATTGTCGATCAAATTCAAGGGAAGATCAACGTGATACTTCATCAAGTAACACACGTAATGCACGTAATGGATCATGTTATGATGGCGGTTACAGTAATTCATCATCTCATTCACGTTACGTAAATAATCGACGTCGTAACTATAACTGCCATATTTCTATGGGAGGAGCACTTTCTGTAATTTTTATTCTTAATTTATGGCATTAATTATTCTTAATTAGCTACAAATGTACTTTTGTATTAAAAAACAATTTTACAATTTGAAATGAATAAAGCAAAAATGTTATTTATTCAAATTTATTAAATTTTTTTTTTTCCTTTTATAAAATACAAGAATTAAAAGCAAAAAAATTTTCATAATTTTAATTGAATCTTAAAATTTTTCATTTACATTAAATGAATTTTGAAAGTTTAAAAAATTTTTACAGCCTGAAAAATTACACAAAGATTTTTCATTGAGTAGCCATGAGTTAAAAATTTTTGGTGATGTTGTAAAAGGAATTAAAGTACGTATTTCACATCGTGCTGGTATGATCCGTGTTTATCGTATCAATAGTCTTCAACTTCCAGCTGATCAACTTTGGTTTTAATATTTACATAATTTCATTAAATTATTAATTAAAAATTTTCAACTGATCAACTTTAGTCTAATATTTATGCTATTTCATTAGATTATTAATTATAAAATAGCAAAATTTAATTATCTTCTCTCAGTATTCTTTGATTAAAATAAAATAAAAAATTAATATGATAAAAAGTTGTAACCAATTTTATATATTGTTAAATTATCAAAATTGAATCAAAAGTTTAATTGAAATTTATATTAAAGACAAATTTAAATATTTATTAATAATGAAAATATAAAATTTAGGTTTCAAGGTAAAGATGAAGATGGTAATGAACGACGTATGACTGTAGCTGATTATTTCAACGAACGTTATAATAAATTAAAATTTCCTAAATTACCATGCGTTCACGTTGGTCCAATAACACGTAATATTTATTTTCCATTGGAAGTTTGTATGCTTGATACGCCACAAAAATACAATAAGAAATTAAGCGATAAACAAACATCAACTATTATTCGAGTATGTATTACATTTCATAAATCATTTTAATCATTTCAAAACTCTTTTTTCAGTCTTTAATTTTTCAGATTATATATTATAAAATTATTAAGCATTTAATGTTATTTCTAATTTCTTTGCATTTTTTTTTTTTTTTTTTTTTTTTTTAAAGCATAATTGTATTAATAACATATTTATACATACATTTTATTAAATAAAATATTTTGATATTCATCTAAAGCATTGAAAATTTTATCTTTTGAAGGCGGCAGCTGTTGATGCAATTTCACGTGAACAACGTATTGCATCATTATTTGATCAAGCTGGCTTTCAATATGATCCATTCTTACGTGAATTTGGCTTACAAATTAATCCAAAAATGTTTGAAACAATTGCTCGTGTATTAACACCACCTCGTATACTATTTGGTGAAAATAATCATAGAACGGTTTAATTTAAACATTTTAATAATTAATTATTTCTAACAATAATATTATCAAAAATTACACCATTTAATATAAATTATTTTCAATGAAATAAATTCATTCAAAATAATTTTTTTTTAAAAAAAATAAAAAGTAAATAAACAAAATTATAATAATAATTTAACAAGTTTTAAAAAAAAAAAAAAAAAAAAAAAAAAAAAAAAAAAATATAATAATTTAACAAATTTTAGGATCCAATTGTTACACCAAAAGATGGTACATGGTCAATGGATAATCAACAACTTTATTTACCTGCAAGTTGTCGTAGCTATTCAATGATAGCAATTGTTAGTCCACGTGAGCAGAATCATTTACAGTTAGTGAATTCTTATTCTTTTCTCATTCAATAATGAAATAATATCATTGCAACTATTTTTTCTCTCTTACCTAATATAATATAATTTCAATTATATCATTTCTAATTGTATTAATTATTTCATTTCTAATTATATTAATTATATCATTTCTAAGTTCAAAAAAAGTTTCAATTTAGAGCATTCTGTCAAACACTCATGCAAAAAGCTATTCAAATTAATATAGTATAATTTCAATTATATCATTTCTAATTGTATTAATTATTTCATTTCTAATTATATTAATTATATCATTTCTAAGTTCAAAAAAAGTTTCAATTTAGAGCATTCTGTCAAACACTCATGCAAAAAGCTATTCAAATGGGAATGGAATTTCCAAATTGGCCTGATTTAGTGAAATATGGTCGTACCAAAGAAGACATTGTCATTTTATTTAATGAAATTGCAACTGAATATAAGCAAACAGGGACAACATGTGATCTGGTCATTGTCGTATTACCAACAAAAAATTCTGACCTATATAGTTGGGTCATATAATTCATTTTAATTTTAGTATTATTAGCTTAGAAATTTATAGGTTTTACTAAATTTACATACATACAATTTTTTTTTTTTTTTTTTTTTTATTATTCTTGTTTCAGATTTTAGATATCAGATATCAAAAAGAAACATTTTTATAATAGTCGATTTAAAAATAATACAATCAAAAAAAAAAAAAAAAAAAAAAAAAAACATAATAGCCAATTCTTACAAGATAAAATTTATTAACAAATAAACTTTGAATGAATAAATTATATTAAAAAAAATAATTTTAATAGACAGTTAAAATGCTAGAAGAAATTAGACGAATAGAAAGATTAAAATAAGTTGAAAACAATTTAAATTGATAATTTACTAACAGTCAAGTAACATTTACTAATTTTAATTATTTTAAGAGATGTCATAGCTGATAATTATTATTTGAAATATAATATTACAAAAGTAAAATACTTTCAGTGACAGTAAAAGAATGCAGTGATATGATACATGGAATAATGTCACAATGTATTCTAATGAAAAATGTCGTGCGTCCATCATCTGCCACCTGTTGTAATATAATTTTAAAATTGAATATGAAATTAGGTGGGATTAATTCACGTGTTATTGCTGATTCAATAACTCAAAAATATCTGATCGATGTGCCAACTCTTGTCATCGGAATTGATGTCACACATCCAACACAACTTGAGGAACGACAGAATATTCCATCTGTTGCGGCGGTATATCTAAAATTTCATCGCTGTCTTTTTTTTTTTTTTTTTTAATTTAGATAAATTATTTTTTTTCTGATTTAAAATTTATTTACAATCAAATTAGCAGTTATAAAGAGTTAATATATACTAGTCAAATAAAGTTAGAGTCATTAGATGATTATTTATCAAATTCATTTTGTAGATTGTAGCTAATCTTGATCTATATCCGCAATCATATGGCGCAAATATTAAAATCCAGCGTAAATGTCGTGAATCAGTTGTTTATCTTTTGGATGCTATACGTGAACGTCTTGTTAGCTTCTATAAAACGACACATCAGAAACCAATTCGTATCATTGTTTATCGTGATGGAGTATCTGAAGGACAATTTAGTGAGGTATTTAGATGAATTATTATTGCTTTAATTTTTAGAAAGCAAAGGAAAAAAAATCTTTGTTTTGTTTTTGTTTTTTTTTTGTTTTTTAATTTGCTTCTTTGTTTGTTTTTTCCTTTGTTTTGACATGTTTAATAATAAAATATTTATATATATTATTTCTGTTTATATATATCATTTCAACTTTAAAAAAAAAAAAAAAAAATTATGTATAAAAACGACGAAAGTAAACTTTTCACTTATAAAGGTAAAAGGTAAAAAAGGAAAACAAAATTATTACTTTCAGGTTTTACGTGAAGAAATGCAAGGTATTCGTACAGCATGTTTGATGTTATCACCAGATTATCGACCACCAATTACATACATTGTGGTACAAAAGCGCCATCATGCACGAATGTTTTGCAAGTTTGCGCGCGATGCAGTTGGTAAAGCAAAAAATATTCCACCTGGTACGGTAATTGATACAGGAATTGTTTCACCGGAAGGTTTTGACTTCTATCTATGCTCACATTTTGGTATTCAGGTAATAATTCTCTTCTCATTTTTTAATCAATTTATTTTCTTCTCTTTTTCAACTATTATTCTTTTTTTTTTAGGCATAATTAAAAAGCAATTTGAAACATTAGTTTATAGAATCAAATTAAAATTGAAATCAAGATTTAAAAAATTTCAAAAAATACAAAATTAAAGAGTGTAATTTGTAAGAAATAATTGGAAAATTTTCAATATAGTGTAAAATTTTTTAAAAACATTGAAAAATATAAGTACATTTAGAAATTTAATCAAAGATTGAATTCTGCAAAATTATTGTAAAATTTTCAGGGTACTTCTAGGCCAGCACGTTATCACGTTCTTTGGGATGATTCGAAATTCACGTCTGATGAACTTCAATCAATAACATTTAATATGTGTCATACGTACGGACGCTGTGCTCGTTCAGTTTCTATTCCGGCACCTGTCTATTACGCTGATCTTGTCGCCACACGTGCACGATGTCATCTCAAACGAAAAATGTATTTTTTTTTTTCTTTTTTTTGTTTTAAAATTATTTCTTATTTCATTTCTATAACTACAATGATATTTGATAAAGCATAGGAGATTAAAATGTTTAAATTTTATTTTAATTTTTTGTTTTGTTTTATTTTTTTTAAAAAGTCATTTTCATTACATAAATGTTTAGATTTCTTAATTTAATAATTTAAATTATTCATTATTCATATTTTAATAAAAATAAATATTTTGTTTATTTTTAGGGGTGTATATGAATCAGAGTTAATATCAGATACTGCATCACTTATTTCCTCATCGTTATCATCACTGATTTCTGCAGGACGTATCACAACTCTACAACATATCATCGATGATAACGACGATCTTTCAGATGCAGAAAGTATTAAAGTAAATTTTTTAGAGTTCTATTAAGTTACAGTTCTTTTAATTAATAATTTTAAAATTTATTTATTTATTTTATTTTTTTTCTAATACAACAATGATGATAATGGTAATTAATAATGATGAATTTGTGAGAAATTTCTGTTCAAAATTACTTCGTCACTTTTACTTCATTTTATATTAACAAAATAATTATTTGTTATGGATGGATAATTTAAAAAAAAAAAAAATAATTTTTAATTTTCAGTGCGAAGAAAAAAAAAATGAAATTATAGTGAATCATTTAAATTTTTGAAATATAATTAAATGTAATCAAACTATGATTTCCAGCCAAACTGAAAATTAATCGATTCTCATTTCTTTTTTTCCTTCAGGACGGTTGCGCACAATCAATAATGAGTAATAGCGATACAATATTACAGGAATATGTTACAGTATCGGAGAAATTTAAAGGACGAATGTATTTCGTTTAAGAATAAAACTTAATTGTCATCTATAAATTATCATTATTATTATTAATTAAATTATCATTAAGTATTGGTGTTTGTTTGACAATTAATCAATTAATTAATTAATTAGTTACTGATTCGTTAATTTGTAAAAAAAAAAAAAAAAGAATTTCCCAAATAGAAAGTAAATTGTAATCAGTGAAATTTACTTTTGGCCTTAAATTTATTTTTTGTTACATTATCGAAATGGAGAAGATAGAAAAGGAAAAATGATTTCAATAGAAATATTAAAAAAATTATAAAAGATATTTTACAATTTCACAAAAGGATAGAATTAGTGGAGATGATAACTTATTCAGATATTTATGATATGCTAATTTGAATATTTTTTAAATTTAATTAGCCTATGTGCTGTCCACATAAACTATTGTATAAGTAATTTGCTATTAGATAACAATTTTTAACCGTAAATTTTCAAGAATTCAATTAGAAATAGTATTTAGGACGCTTTAAACAAGAAAACTTTAAAACTTTTTTTTTTTGCTTTTTTATCTATTTTAAAATTTTATTTTTTAAAGTTCACTTAAATCTTTCTCTCTGCCCATAGGCTAGTACTTCGAGCTTTACCTTTGATTGATTTACCTGCCCAAATTAGCAAAGTTTGTTTGGAATTTAATTGTATTACAGTAGAGCAATTTATGTAAAATATTCTTTCAGTCTTTATACTTCTCGTGCAGATATACATATACGCAAACTTATTTTTCATCTGTTTCTTATTTTAGAAGATGTTCAAAAAAAAAAAAAATTGAAAGACAAATTGTTAATTAATGAATATTTAATAAAATTTTATTTTGATAAATTTTCAAATCGATCAACTACCTCAAATATCTCGAAATGCTATTTTTCAGATACCGCAATGAAGATGTCTCAGATTTAAATTTAAAAAGAAATAAAAAATGCAGCAATTGTTAGAACTGATCATATAGAGATTATTTAAATATAAGAAATTTTAATAATGAATTAGAATTAGAGAGAAAAGATTTACAGATTCAACTCATATTTCCATTTCAATTTCTATTACTTCACTCATTACTCTTTCTTAATTATAACTTTCAAACTTATTTAACATATACTATTTCTATCTAAAACAGATTTATTTTTAAAAAAAAATTCATTTTTTGGTACCAAAAACACATCTAAAGTAAATTGATGAAACCATTAAATGCGCAAAAGTTCAAAAAATTTTACAACATGAAAGACTTCCAGATTGTTTCCGACATAAAATTACAACCAGCAATATTTAGTGTTTAATTTCCTGAAACAGAAAACATTATTTAATTGTTACATTTTACGTCCAAAATTTTCTCATCTTTTCCGGAAGGAAACTTCCCATTTAATACTTTTAAAAATATCATGAATTTTTGAGGATAATAACATAGATATTGAAAGATTATTTCAGGAAGAAACGATGTTTATTTTAATGTTTTAGAGTTTTTCTATGAATTTTTCTTTTTTTTTTTCCGGTATGTATGTTATCTACACCAAAAATTGATGTTACTGATTGATAACTTTTTTGAAAGTGTTCGATGATAAGTTCCTTTCCGGAAAAATTAAGTGAATTTTAAATATAAAAATTTAAATTACTTTTAGAAAATACATTTTTTTTTTCAATTCAAAAGGAACAGACAGGAATCTATCCGAAATATTCATTTATTTTTCTCAGAAAACGATTGAAATTACAACAACTTTTACACTTAATAATCAGATTAAGTTGCTATCGTCCATTTCAATGTGAAAATTTTGAAAATAAAATGATCTCGAGATCTCACACAATAACAGGTATTGACAGCTGTTACATACAATGTCAAAGGTCATCTTTTCTTTGGTGCATCAAACTTTAAGATGAACAACTTGCATAATGTACTATTTTATTGAAATAATCGAGATTTAAATTCATACGGTCCCGTGGTGTAGTGGTTAGCACTCAGGACTTTGAATCCTGCGACGGGAGTTCAAATCTCCCCGGGACCTGCTTCATGCAGTTGAGGATAGGCATGCGCTTTTGCTACAAACTGCCGTGCAACATGCAATAGCATTTCCGGTTCGTGGGGTCGCAGGTCGCAGGTACGAAAGGTCACGTGACCTTTCATTTGAATTGAACGTTCCTACCTTTACCAACACTGTTGTTGTGCCAAACAGAATGATGTGAAGGCTTGAAACTATTGCGAATCTGTCAGATAAATAAAGCAATGTTAATCAATCCGGTAACTGTAATAACATGAGTCTATTCGATAAGTGGAGCAATATGAATCTGTCCGGCAAATGGAGTAATATAAGTCTATCCGGTACATGAATCTATCCGGCAAATGAAGTAATTTGAACTTATTCGATAAATGAAGTAATATAAATCTATCCAGATAAGTTAAGTGAAGTAATATGAGTTCATCCGGTTATTGGATTACTATGAATTTATCCAGAAGTTTCAATTTTCATGCAAAATGTAAAACATTGTAGCCATTATTTAATTAATGCAAAAATGACTGTTCGATTTTTTGCACTGTTTAAATTCGTTATTTAATCCTATTGCATATTTAATTTTAATACTTATTTCTTCACTCATACTTTGATTTCATAGTCTATTTGATAATTCTTAGAAATAAAATTAATTAAAATTAACAGAATATTCTTTTCTTTGCTCGTTGTGTGTTTGTATGTATTTTTTTTTTTTAATTTTATTTAGTGAATTCAAAAATAAATAAATATGATTTTAAATTACTTTAATAAAATCAATTTATTGCTTTTTTTTTTTTCTTTTTGAAAAAGAAAACTGAAAAAAAAAAATTTCTTTTAGAAAATTTCAGGATACTTGCAATTATATCATAGATATTTCTCCCAATAATTATCATTGATTTCTTATAATATTGAAAGAGAGAGAGAGAGAGAGAGAGAGAGAGAGAGGGAGGAAGAGAAGGAGAGAGGGTGAAAGGAAATGAAAGAAAGCGATGGATGAAAATAATTGAAATAATAAAATTATTTGTTAAAATAATAAGCAAATAGTCATTTACTCTGATATCACTTATCAAATGATAAATTTTGATAAATATTATTTTGAAAAAAAAAAAAAGAGAGAGAGAGAGAGGCACATTAAATATAATAAATATATAATATAATGAGCATTGCTATTTAATAAATTAAAAATCATGACACATTGTTTACTAGCAAATGATTTTTGTTTTTGTTTTGGTGGAGAAAAAAAAAGTAACAAAAGCTTATTGTGTGAATATTTCCATTATTATTTGTTTTGTTTTCATACGAATACAAAAAAACAATAATAAAAAGTAAAAATAAAATGATGGAGCAATTCTTTTTTTCTTTTCATTTTTAGATTAAATTTTTATAAAAATGAGTAAAACTTTTCAATTAAAATTTATAATTTACTATGATAAATGAATGTATTAATTTGTTTGTAAGCGAATTTTTGCAAAAATTATTCTAACAAATTTAATTTATGCTGTTTTCAATATAGAAAGAAAAAAAAAAAAAGAAAGGAATGCTTTACTGAATTCTTATCAGAAAGAAGAATCTCTTATCATTAATTATATCTAAACTTTGTACGCTTATAAATGCGTGAAGTCTCGACTTGATAAAAAAGCATCCTGCCCTACCATACTGTAAAGCATACAAAAATTCCTAAATTAAACTTAATTAAACTTAATCATTTCTTTTTTTTTTTGCTATAAAAATTTAACAATAAAATAAATTATTCATTTCAACTTTAAAGAATTTAAATTATATCATTTGAATAGAAAAGAAAATCCATTAACTTTTGCATATTTTTTAAGTTAAACTAATATTAATTATTATTATTATTAATTATTACCATAATTATTAATATTAATTATTATTACAATATTCATGAATCAAGTAACCTTTTTTTTTTTCAACTTTTTCAATGTAAATTAAGTAATATTTCAATATTTTTAGTCTGTAAATCAATAAATTGAATATTTAATAAACTTTCCGATTTCTTCCGGAATTTTTTTTTATCATCAGAATAGATAAAATAGTCGATGAAATTTTTACAATTATTAAACTATTACCAAAAATGCATTTCAAAATGTAAAGTAAACATATAATTGGAAATTTTTTTTTTTTTTAATGAATCAATGCATTAAATTATTGTTTCACATAGCTCATCATACTTGTTATTTCTGTTCATCATATTATTATTTATTTATTTCAATTAATTCTTTGTGCTAAATTTAAAATTTTTAATACTTTAACAATTTATTTTTACTTAAATAGTCCAAATTACATTTAAAAAAATATTTTGTTTACTACTAATAGATGCAAAAAAATGATAAACAAAATTAAAAAAAAAAAAAAAAAACAAGTAATTATTCTTTCAAACAATTTAATTTATCACAAGGTTAAGTAAGATAAAGGTAAAACACGATGTTATCTGTATTCATTTTTTTTTTTAAGGTTTGGTATAGATTACATTTAAAATAACTTTTCATTTAATTCTCGAAAAAAAAAAAAAAAAGGAGTGATGACATAGAAATGTCATCAAACTTCATTCTTTCATTCACCTATTTGACATTCTCTACTAAATTTCATGAAAGAAATTTTTATTTTACCTAAAATATTAAAAAAAAAAAAAAAAACTTTTAAAAATCACACAAATAATTTTTCTTTTTTTTTGCATTACAAAACTTTTTCTTATATTATTAAATTTTTAATTAAATTTTTTGTTAAACCAAAATTTTCATAGGTTATTATCAATTTAATCATATATTATGCTTTTGTTCATTTAACTGTCAACTTACAATTTAACAAATTCAATAGTTAAATTTAATTTCAGACAATTAATGCGTATTTTCTTTTGATCTATAACAATCATTTTTAGGAAAAAAAAGAAAAAAAAAGAAAGAAAAAATTTTTTTGCAAAATCATATTAATTCAATATCCATCTAATTAATTATTCTTTACTTAATATTTCAACTTTTTTTTTTTTTTTTTTG